GAGGGGGGGCAATTGGAGCAGGGCTATCGGGAGGGAGGGTTCCCAACCCTAATCCCAATTGAGGTCCCATGGGGGGGGAGGGTGGGCCGCTGGGGGGAGGGGCTGCAGGAAGGTTGGCTGGCCAGCCCTGCCCCCTATTGAGGTAGGGGGTGTGATCAGGGGCAGGGCCAACTAGGGGGAGGGGCCGAGGGAGTTTGGCTGGCCGCAGTGGGTGTCATAGTGACCAGTTGTTCCGGTCACTGGCTTTTTATATATATAGATAGATATCTACCTCACAGACAATATGCTAAATGCTGTGAGGATTATAAAGGATCATAAAAACATAATCCCCACCTTCAAGGGACATACCACATAGATTCATTTAGAAGACAAGGTCAATTTCATTCTTTTGCAAGTAAAGTTAAATTTCTTGCCATGACATAGCATTTGATAATTCACAATTATTTATGTAAATGATGGGCCACATTGGTAGTGAAAAATCCAGCTGAGCCTTTTTTTGGCCCTAACCTATGAAAATTTAACTGACAGGAAAGTCTGCTACTAGGAATAAGGGTTTCCAGTTCTACGTGTGACTATTTAACTTTTACTAGAAAAATGTTGTTTTCTCTACTTAAACTGGGTAAGAGTTGGACCCAGTGACTTTGAAAGCCAAAAAAATATAGAGGGAGTCTCTAACAGGTCATTGCAGGGGTCCTCAAACTACGGCCTGCGGGCCACATGCAAATACAAATATTGTATTTGTTCCCGTTTTGTTTTTTTACTTCAAAATAAGATATGTGCAGTGTGCATAGGAATTTGTTCATAGTTTTTTTTTAAACTATAGTCCGGCCCTCCAACTGTCTGAGGGACAGTGAACTGGCCCCCTGTTTAAAAAGTTTGAGGACCCCTGGGTCATTGCCTTAACAAGGAATAAGACACCTCCCACCCCTACCCAACAGGATTAACAGAAAAAGACAGGGAGGCATGGTAGAAATACTACACAGGTGAAAAGAACAAAATATTGTACTACAATAATAAACTTAAGGCTGGAGGAGAGCACAAAGTCATATTGCTAGGTCCACTCATGTGATATCTAAATTACTCTGGTAAAACACAAACCGAAAAAATTCCTCTACTAAAGAAAAGATGTATCAACAAAATATGATGATTATTTCAAAAGCTGTATAAACAGAATACTAGTAAAATAAGTTTGACGACAACATCTAAGGAACTGGCTTTTTCATTGATAATGAGATATTACATACTTGCATTTGTAGAGAAAAATTATTTAACTTTAGGCATAATTAAATTTATAAAATGGCAAGGTGGAATTTTGCTCAAAGAAGCTTTAGTTAATTAGCAAAATAAAATGCTCATATTAAATGGACTCTGAGAGTCTTTAAAGCAAGACCTTCCCCAAGGGCCAAATCTGGCCACCACCTCTTTTTTATTTGTTTGTTTTTTTACACCTCTTTTTATAAATAAAAAGTTGTATTGGAACTCAGCCATACTCATATTAGATATTCTCTATGGCTATTTTCACTACACTACAGAGTTGAGTAGTTGTGATAGAGACTAAATGGCCTGCAAAGCCTAAATATTTACTATTTGGGCCTTTAGAGAAAAAAGTTTACTGATCTCTGTCTTTAGATAAAGTAAGAGAATTGACATTAATAAAGTGAACTCTTACTATGTATAAGGCACTATGCTAGAAGCCTTAAATTATTTTCACTAAATTCTCATAAGAAGCCTATTAAAAACATCTTCTTGTCCCCCGTTTACAAGCAAGAGAAAGTGACGGTCAAACGAGTTAAGAAACTTGCTCTGAGTGGCAGTCTTGGGATTAAAAAATCAAAGCCTAATTCTCAAATTCGGTGTCTTATACTTTTAAACGTCTTTAAAATAAAAAAAATTGTAAACTTTCCTTTCTCCCTCTGGAAGAGTGGTGCTGCTCAGACAACAAGAAAATTCATATAAAAGCTGGATTACTGGGGTCCTGTTGAACCATGAGGTTCCTGTTTGTCTCATTCCTTACAAGTCCATACCAGTCCGTCCATGAAAAAACAGCTCTAAACTGAAGTCATTATACCAGCAACTGCTTTAGTCACAGGGCAATTTTCCTTAAGCAGTAAAACCTAGTTCAGGAAGATTAGGAATGCTGAATCTGTGTCTATTTTGTGTCCCCCATTTGCACAACAGTGATTTTATATTCATTCTTACCATGTAAGGTCTGTTACAGGATTCATTACAACTTGCTGCTTTGAGATTGCTACATAGCTTTCATTCTACTTGTTGACCAACTGTAAACTTGTTCAAAGATAATATGAAATGCAGTGGCCAAAAAGAATAGTGAAGCCCCAGTCAACTTCAAAGTTAAGAGGGCAGATGAGCAATTATTTCTGCTCAAAAGATCCTCAAAATGGCCTTCTGAATACTATCAGCAGTCTACTGAGGTCAACTGCTGGAGGCTGATGTGTATGTCCAGTATCTACTACCTAATTTCAGAAAGATACAGCTATGCTGCAAGGATATAATGTATAGAGTTTAGATGATATTAATTTAAGGACTGCAAAGTTTAATGGTTAAGAGCTGTCTGTGGAGTCAGACTTCCTGGATCTGTATCTCAGATCGAACACCTTAGTGTATCATCTTGGGAAAGCTGCTTATCTCTGATTCAGTTGCCTGGTCTATAAAATGGAGATTGTTATCTCATTCACAGGCTTGTTGTAAAGATTAAGTTAGCTAATATAGTAAGTGGTCACAAGATTATCTGGCACTTGGTAAACTTCCCATGAGTATAAACTATTACAATTACTGGATATGACTTTTGTACATTGCCTTATGAACCCTCTTCTTTGTCATCACTTCTATATAACACTTTCAAAACCACTCTCTTCACATGTAACAAGAGATTTCATTTTACTTATTTCCTTTCTCTTAAAAGGAGTTTGTTGCTAATGAGAATTCAGTCACATGAAAGTCTGTTTTTTTCAACCTTTGTCATTTCATTCACGTTTTCAGAAAAAAATGTTCAGTCCAATCTATATAGCTATATAAACAACAAAGAGATGAAGAAAGAGGTGGCTTTCTTACCATTAAATGTTTGCTGTAAATGTGTAGGCAGAGGTGAGTGGGAAAGTGTTGCTGCATGCTGAGCTCCTGGCTGTAAACCCTTTAGTAAATCTGAGAGGAAAACAGACTTGTCAGTGATCTTCTTAAATCTGGTTGAGCCCTCTGAGAGCAAAAATGAAAATAGTTTAATTTATCTAATGCAAGCACAGCCCTGACTTCGAAGGCCTTCTTTGAGTATATACATGTTAAAAAATTTACATACATAAATGTACCTGTGAATGCAAACACTCAGCAAATCTGACTTCCTCTTATTATAATTTTTTTTTAGAAATGTGGTATAGTGGTTCATTTAAAAATTATAAATAAAATCTTAGAGTCCAGTAATTTGATTATACATAGATAAAATACATTGCATCTCTTTTTTTAAAAATTCTATAATCTATACAAGTCCAACTGGTATAATGAGTATAATTTTGTTTCCTGTTCTGTCAAACTAGGTAGCCAAGTAAACAAAGGCCCCACTTACTCTGAGTTAAGCTATGGTGGAGAGCTGCTGAGGTAGATCCCGAGGTGGTTGTCACTCCAGCTGTGTCCGTTCCAAAGCCAAGTAGCTCCAAGGGAAACTGGAAGGGCATGGTCACTGGAACAAGGCCACCCAGCATCCCAAAAGGAGTCACATTTTGATTTGTTACAGACAAAGGTGATGTCATGAGAGTCAGAGGTGAGGCATTAGCCAATAATGATGCTCCTGCTGTGGACTGCAGAAACCAGGGGTCAAAATACATAAGAAATCAAATCTTTAACCTGAATTGATTTATTTAATATCTTCATGGGCACAAGACTATGTTTTATATTTGCTCTAACAGAAACCTTGATATAGAAATGAAGACGAAGTTGAACAATATAATTCAAAGTGCTACTTAATAATTCTATACTCAGCTCTTCATCACGTTTAGACTCTTCCTTAACTTATTTTATTGCCTATATTAACACCCATTCACCCTCTCAATCCATTCACTTTTTAAAATTTTTTTAAAGAAAGTATCTTTTATTGATTTTTTACAGAGAGGAAGGAAGAGGGATAGAGAGTTAGAAACATCGATGAGAGAGAAACATCTATCATGCCCTTGACTGGAATCGAACCTGGGACCCTGCAGTCCGCAGGCCGATGCTCTATCCATTGAGCCAAATCAGTTAGGGCAATTCACTTCTTTTTTTAAAAAAATATATTTTATTGATTTTTTTATAGAGAGGAAGGGAGAGGGATAGTGTTAGAAACATCGATGAGAGAGAAACATCGATCAGCTGCCTCCTGCTGGGGATGTGCCCGAAACCAAGGTACATGCCCCCGACCAGAATCGAACCTGGGACCTTTCAGTCCGCAGGCTGATGCCCTATCCACTGAGCCAAACCAGTTAGGGCTCCATTCACTTCTAACCTTAGATTCCCCTAGATCTGAACCAATTTCATTGTGGTCTCTGAACATGCTCAGTCCCTTTGCTATTTGTCTATACTGTTTCCTGGCACAGTCTCTGCAGTTGCTGCTACAGATTATTATTACTCTCTCAGAGCCCCTAACTCTGTGTCCTTTACTTTCATCCTAACACCTTACAGAAATGAGGCCACCTGGGATGTTCTTCCTCATCAGACTCACCTGCCTCTTCTCCAAAAGCTATGACCTATGAACTGGCCTATGCCATGAATCCCATCAATGTAGAACTTCCTGGTACAAATAATCTAGTATTCGCACTTTTTCCATGTTTCCTCTGCCTACTCATATACAGAGAATTCTTTTTCCCCCCTTTATTGATTAAGATAATAAAAATGTGTCCTTATCCCCCCAATCTTATCTTTTTTAAAAAATATCTTTTTATTGATTTTTAGAGAGGAGGAAGAAGGGAGAGGGACAGAGAGATAGAAACATTAATGAGAGAGGAACATCATCAATCAGTTGCCTCCTGCACAGCCCCTACTGGGGATTGAGCCCGCAACTGAGGTACGTGCCCTTGACTGGAATCGAACCAGGGACCCTTCAGTCCAAAGGCCGACGCTCCATCCACTGAGCCAAACCGGCCAGGACTCATCTCTTTTTACAACCACTTATTCCTGGCTCTTCCTCAACTTTGGAAACCACTTGACTTATTTGTATTCCTTTTATCCTCAAACTTAGTGAATGACAGCCTCTACTTTCCACATTATCTAGTCTCTCCTTAACCCCTGTAAGTTGGTTTCCATCTCTACTACTTGTCTGAACTTAGACTCCCTAAGGTAAAGGCAAATTAGAGGGTGTTTTGACACTCCCCTGTTTGTTTGTTCTTTTAATATATTTTTATTGATTTCAGAAAGGAAGGGAGAGGGAGAGATAGAAACATCAATGATGAGAGAAAATCATTGATTGGCTGCCTCCTCCACGCCCCCTATTGGAGATCAAGCCTGCAACCGGGGAATGTGCCCTGACTGGGAACTGAACCGTGATCTCCTGGTTCATAGGTTGACATTCAACCACTGAGCAACACCAGCCGGGGCCCTACCTGTGTTTTAATGCTGTTTATGAATAAAAACATTTAAATGAAAAATATGCTAACATTGAACTTTCATTGAGAAATTACTTAAATATACTTCATTAAGCTAATTTAATTCTTTGAACAATTTTCTATACAGCAATTAAGTAATTTTTTCCCATTTTGACATTTCTTTTCTATGTGAATTTATCAACAAAGATTATAAGCTTTTCTCAGTATTAGATATTATCTATTATAGTTTCTGCAACTGTTAAGTTTTCTTTTGTAGCCTTATTTTACTAATTCTAAATTTCCCTAAATATTTTACATGTTAGCCACTGTCAGGCTGATTTTATGTGTTTATTATTCAACCAGTAAACATTATTCATTAATAAAAGCTGAATCATTTTGCTTAGTTAATATATGAGAAAATATAGGTGATCTTCCCATACATCTATGCCACATTACATAGTACTAGTATATACTTAGTGGTCCATGCTACTGCTGCACATGAATTGCAGAACAACCTCAAGAAGCTTCCCATTCTGTTTTTTCCACTCTCTCTCCAATAGCCTTCCCTCTCATTATCTCCTTTAATTTTAACCTCTCAAATTGATATTCACACTCCTGACCTCTCATCTCAATTTCAATCCTGTATATCTAGAAGTTCAATGAAGAATCTAACTTGGATATCTAACACTCACCTACTTGGCATGTCCACAACTAAACTCATCATCACCTGCTATGTTAACTGCTATCATCAGTAGTCTGGTTCTTACCTGCCACTTAGGTTTGACACCTTAGTTTTCTGGCATTAAAAAGTAAAGGACAAGGTGAGCTCGTGGGCAACATACACATTCTTTCTTTTTTCCCACAACTTCCTCCAACACTTACGTATAAGTCTTTATCACTTTCTGCTTGGCATTAACTATCTTTCTTATTTTCCAGTCTTCTTCTCTATTGTGCCAATCGTGATAGACAAAATGGGCACATTAAGGAAAGAATTACTAAGTTAAAAATAATAAGTGAAGCAATTTAGATAGAAAGGATCCTGTATCAATTTGAGAATTAACAAGAGTTCTTTCTTCTTTTTAGTCGTAATTCTATTGTAATCTCAGAATAACATGAGGCACATACTTCAAGGCAGTACACCATAAACAGAGCCCCCTAGTGAGAAACAGCTAATAAAGAAAACTTTTTCTGGAGGAGGCTAATTGAAGCATTAAAATCTAAGGAAAATGCCCTGTCCAGTGTGGCTCAATTGCTTAGAGCAGCGGTTCTCAACCTGTGGGTCGCGACCTCTTTGGCGGTCGACCCTTTCACAGGGGTCGCCTAAGACCATCCTACATATCAGATATTTACATTACGAGTCATAACAGTAGCAACAATACAGTTATGAAGTAACAATGAAAATAATTTTATGGTTGGGTCACAACATGAGGAATTGTATTTAAAGGGCCAGAAGGTTGAGAACCACTGGCTTAGACCGTCATCCCACACACCTGATTTCTGGTCAGGGCACATACCTGGATTGGGGGGTGTACTCAAGGCAACCTATCCATATCTCTCTCTCTCAAAAAACAAATAAACAAAAAACCCCAATAAACACAGATGGAAAATGTAAATTAAGGCAACTTCCAAAATTAAATAATTGAGTATTAGCAATAAAAAATGGTGTCATGCCATAAGTGCCTAACATTTTTGTATGGTCAGCATTTCTGTATCTAATTTTGTTTTTAAAACTAGAATGAAATATCAGATTATCTATGTTACATGGGTATAAATTTCTCTCTCCTAAACATGGAGACCTTTCAAAGCGGAGCATCCCACCAGTGGTATCATTCAGAAGCATACAGGAGAAGTTGTCAACCTGAAGTAGGCAAACAGCTCAGGATAATGCCCCATAATCAAAAATACTTTCTATGATCTCCACATTTCATTCCCAGGGGAAAATATGAAGAGAATCCTTGCTCTCTCTTCCCATGGTTAGCATTACTTTTTTTTTTTAAATCACGTTTTATATTTTGGTTAAGTGCATCCACCCCCCTCATTCCCTACAACATCCAGAGTGATCTTTAGAAATATTAGTCAAACCATACCACTGCCCTCCCTGTAAAAGACCCTCCAATAGCTTCCCACTGCACACAGAATAAATTCCAAAGTCTTTATCATGGCCCACAAGGTCCTTCATCACATGGTACTGTTGAATTCCAACCTCATCACCTACCCATCTCTTCCTAGTCTTGCCATGCAGGTCCACACGTCTTCTACAGGTCTACAGGCCTGTTCTTTCCTCTCTTCACACCACCCACTTTGCCTGGACTGTTTGTTCCCTCTTATTTCCAAAGGCTGAATCCTGCTCATTCAATTCTCCACTTAAATGCTGCCCCCTCAAAGAGGCCTTCCCCAACTCCTTTATCTATGTTAGCAATAATCATACTTTATCATATTATCCCATTTTATTTTTTCATAACACTTTATATATTTTTAAAATTTGTGTTTTGTTTATTTTCCTACCTAAAATATATGCTCCATAAAGAGGAGGGGGTTTGAATATGAATGTTCACCCTATTTCCCCAGCACCTAGAACAGTGCCTGGCACATATTAAACACTTAGTAAGCATTTGCTTAATAAAGCAATTATTTTCAGAATTCTCAAGTGGCAAAGACAGGATTCAGAGAAAATCAATAAGTTGAAGGGTAAGAAAGAAGAGGAACACGTTGAGTAGAAAATTATTCAATAAAAAGCAGGTAGAGGTAATAATCTGTTAAACTCAAGACCTGTCACTTTCACTCTGCAAATGAGTAGACAGCTGATGATGTATTTCAGACAGGAGTTAAATACTTTGCAGGCACAGATAGGAAATCTGTTTTTAGTGTTGGAGGACTTGAGAGACAGGATCTAGAGGCCACAGATAGCTGATAAGATTTCAGTGAGATGCTATATTAAAAAAACAACAACAAAACACCAAAAAAAAACCCTTAGGAAACCAAAAGTTAGAAACAACCTTACTCAATTATTGACCTTTTCTTCAGTAAAACCAATAAGAAGTGAACAAAAAGGATCAGATATGAAGGCAGGAACACTAAGGGTTCCAAATCATAAAGTCATTTCGGAGAGGAAGAAAACCAGGAGGGAGTACATTTTAGAAACACAAATTTTGTCATGTAGGTTCATGGTGAGAAACTAACTGATAAATAACTGTATACCAAGTATCTGTGTTCTTTAGCATAAATGATTGATTACAAGAAGGATTTCTGGAAAAAAAATAAAACTGCTAGATTCTGGAGATGACAAAGGATAAAGATTTAATGTTAAATTCAGAGAAAACAAAACAAGTGAAAAAAATTTTTTTAGCTCCAAGGAAAAACCCAAAATATCATAATAAGAAAGCAAATGAAACCATTGTGTGCGATATTTAGTTCAACAGAGACAATATTTTACATAGTCACGGATTTTACCAAAAGTTGTCATTTTACTCTTTCAGGAGAATGGAAAAAATATAAGGGAGCTAAGAGCCTCATTATCATAATGAGAAGTCAAAAACAATACTAAAAAAATAAATTAAGAGTCTTCCATTCATTCTTATTTAAAATCCCAGAGAAAAAGCTAAGAGAGTTAAAAGTAGTAAGCAGGAGGATATGGGGTAGGGAACTGCCATTTCTATGATAATCCTCTCAAATATTCCTTTGATCAAATTAAAGATTTGAAAACGTCAACATTTTAATAAAGGTAATACAAACAGGAATGTGGACTAACTTGCAGATTTAAGTTATAACTTAGAATCCCTAATCAGTTTGTTTTTAGTGTTACTTTCATATTTCTGATTAAAAGTAAAATTACATAGATACAATATCAATAAATCCTAGATTCTAATTAATAAAGTATCAGTTAACTGAATTTTGTTCTATATTAGAATTTTGGAATCAATTCATTTCTAAGACTACAGTAATGGCAGAGTGATGATTTTGGTTTTAAGTGTACACTGAATACCAATGCTTAGCTTGTACTGAATAGCAGAGAACCGCTATGAACACCAAGGGGAAAATTCTTTCATTAAATGTTCGTATTCCACATAACCAGGACGCAGTATAAAGTTAGAGCATTTTGTTAGAGAACAGAATTCCATAAATCAATAAAAGTCATGTTTTCAAAGAATATTTAAGAACCTAAGAACACATCATAAAATGTTAAATTTTTAAAAAGCTTATTATGAAACAGAATATTATGTAAAACGCACTTTCTTAAAAAAGTCCAAAAAAGTACCAGGAAAATATACACAGTGATGGAATAATGGATGATTTTTATTTTCTTTTTTGAATTTGCCTACAGTGAGCATGTATTTCTTTTCGGTGGGGGGAGGGGGCGATATATTAAAGAAACTAAGTCAGTAATGTGAAAGTCTCAGAATACAAAGTGGGAGATAGATGGAAATAATAACAGAGAAGATGATATGGAAGGCAGAGAAATGAAATACATGAGTAATAAAGAGTTCTCAAAAATTCTAGGCCAAATGGGTCAGAAATAATTATCACATGTAATCAAATGAAATATTTTTGAGCTGAAAAAAAAAAAAAGCCAGGTTTGAAATTGCAACAAAAAAGAGAAAATCTTACTAGCATTTAGGCAGAGAAAACACATTACTGATAAGAGAACCTTAGACTCCTCTATAATCCTAAATACAAAGGGTCAGTGGAACAGTATTTACAAAATTTGAAGTGAGACAATTAGTGACCCAAGAAATCTGTAACTATTCAACTGTGATAGCACAGAAATGACCATATATGTAAGAGCTAAGGTAAAATAGTTTTCATTTTAATTTTAGCCTTTTTGAAAACATTCCTTGAGTGAGGAACGCCTATTATCTGAGAGATAAATTTAAAATCTCACAAATGGGGAAGCTGTGCTATAAAAAGGATTACTGATACTAATTTGACAGAGAATTATAAATGAATAATTGCAAAATAAAAATTTTATTCAAAAAGACAGGTTAAAGGAAAAAATAACATGCATGTATAAATTTGATTAAATAAAAAAGTTGGCAGGAGAAAGGGGACTATAGTGGAGAATAGAGGAGACAAGTGAAGGTATGTTAAATACCTAAGTTACTACTTTGTTCTGGACTTTAATAAGATAGTTTTAAATACGCATTTTAGTGATGTCTTTCGACATTTTTGAAAGTGAGCATGTATTACTTGAATGAAAAATAAATAAATCCACATTCCAACAAAAATCTCACTCCCAAGTATCCCCATCACTGTTATGTCAACATTAGGAACATTCCTTGGCAATAAACTATTGGCTATTTGGCTATTACAAACAACCTATATATTATAATAAGGAAAGGTTATACACTAATACATTTTACCCCATGAATGTATATAACATACATACCTGCACACTGGCTGTTACCACTGAAGACCCTGAGGCAGAGGATGGTCTATGTGGAGTAGACAACGGTTTAGTAGCACCCTGTGTTCCACCTCCTGTTCCCCCAGATAGACTAGTCCTATTAGCTCCGCTTGAGTTAAGGTTGCTACCTCTGCTGGCAGGTGCATTCACTGCAATTCCACTCAAGCTATTCTTCCCAACAGTTCCAGTGGATGATGAGTTTGGTAGCTTTGATGAGGCCTGAAGATTTTTTGTAGACGGAAGGCCTGAAGTGCGATTAGAGGGCAATAAATTCAAGGTGGGAGACTGTCTGCTGATATTTATTCCACTGGGTTGTTTATGGACTGGGTTGTTACTGCTGGAGTGGCTACTCTGGGCTACTAGTGCACTTGGACTGGAAGAACTTGAGGATACAGTAGGCTTGGGAGTTGGGTTGGATTTAGAAATAAGTTTAGTTGATACTGAAGGCTTAGCTGACAGAGAGGGCTTGGGTGAGGCAGAAGGCTTAGGTGAGGGCAAAGGTTTAGGGGATGTGGCAGGTTTCGGAGATGCGGCAAGTTTTGGGGATGCAGCCATTGAGAAGGGAGATTTGAAACCCTGCGTGGAGATTTGTGACACCATAGCCTTAGCTAAGTAGTTACTGGAGGTAGTGGTGCTAGGTACAGTCCTAGAAACCAGGGAGTGGGACCCTTGAGAACCATTTCCAGGTGAGGGAGTAGGTAAGGGGAGGCGGTACATAAGTGACTTATCTGAAGTCTTAACAAGTGGGGATGAACAGGAAAGCTGGGGACTATTACTTAATTTCACCACTGGGTTGCTCTGTGATTTACTAATGGTTGCTTGCAGTGGAGACACATAATTTTGTTGGACAGCTGAATGCTGGTGCACCTTTGTTACTTGTGTTAACGAAGAAGCATCTTGGGCCTCTGATGTTCCCAGAGCGTGAGAGGAGGCAGCAACTTGGGCTTGGGAGGAAGAGGAGACATGGGTCTGTGAAGAGGAAGAAGCATGAATCTGGCTTGACCTCTGTAGTCCTTGTTGAAGTAGCCTGGCTGGCAAAGGTTCTAAGGAAACTTTAGGGTTCTGAATTGAAGAACCAGCAATAAGGCCTGAAGAGATGCCAGTATGAGCTAAATCCTGGGGTTTCTTTGGTACTGGCCCGGTGTGACCAGCAATAAGACTAGATGAATGTGCAGTCTGAGCAGAATCTAGTTTTTTGGGAGTAGCCAGTGGCAGCTTACTCATTATACTTGCTAATTTTTCTTCTCTCAGTCCTGGACGAGGTTTTGCAGTTGGCATGCTTATCCTTGAGCCAGCTGGAGGGCACTTGTTCCCATTGTTGATAACAGCTAAAGCTTCAGAAACAAGATCCAGTGCAGGTGGGTGGAAAGAAAGGTCTTCATCTAGTGAGTCATCAAGGCAGATCGTCTCCTGGGCTGGAGTAGAGCTAGAGCTGGTGGAGGCCATGGCAGATGTGACAGAACTTGAAGGACCACCAATTGAAGCCACCAAGGATGCAGGAGTTTTCTGGTCCTTTTTTGGACTACACTCCTAGTATAAACAGCATTGTATTAGAAAAAAATGCAATGATTAATAAAAAATTACAAGTATTGGTTTTTAAAAGACTAAGAAGTTCTCATGATTACTAAAATTCTACTGGAACTCTTCTTTAGAGACTGTAAACACCAATTTTTTTTTAAAGCATAAGAGCGGGTGTGGGAGGCAGCCAACCGATGCATCTCTGTCACATCAATGTCTCTTTCTCTCTCTCTCCCCTCCACTCTTTCTAAAATCAAGGGGAAAATATCCTCTCTCCTTGGGTGATGATTTAAAAAAACCAAAAACAAACCCAAGCCCAAGGTCTTACATTATATATTGATTTATAGGACCACAGCACTTACCTTAACCATAGTGGGAAAGAATGGAGAGGAAGGGTCTTTACCATCACCTTCTAAGGTACTACAGTAAAAAAGCTGTTAAGAATGCTGTTATACTTTAAGTCCCTGAGCAGTTTTTCTAAGTTTCTGTTCTAAAAGTCCTGACTGAAAACCTCACTGCCTCTCAGAAGTCTGCATGGTAACTGCATTAAGATCAAAATTGTCTGCTAGCATGAATGGCTAATGCAGATGTGACATGTTCACTTTGGCATGCCATGTAATTACATGATTAGTAAAAATCCCATTATAATAAAAAGTACAAAAACTGTGGGTTGGGGAGTATATCAGAATAATATTGGCAGTGTTACCAGTATAAAACTGCTGGTTTTATTTTTTTTTAATTTATTTGTATTGATTTCAGAGAGGAAGGGAGAAGAAGAGAGAGATAGAAACATCAATGATGAGAGAGAATCACTGACTGGCTGCCTCTTGCACCTCCCCGCCACTGGGGATGGAGCCCGAAACCTGGGCATGGGCCCTTGACCAGAATTGAACCCAGGATCCTTCAGTCCGCAGGTCGATGCTCTAGCCACTGAGCCAAACCGGTTAGGGCTAAAATTGCTGTTTTAAGTAACCTTTTTATTAATATTTTTCTTTATAAAATTAACAAATCATGTCCTGGTGAGTGTGGCTCAGTTGGTTGGAGCTTCATCCCATATACTGAAAGGTCCCAGGTTTGATCCCAGTCAGGGTATGTACCTAGGTTGCCAGTTTGGTTAAGGTTGGGGCGCATACAAGAGGGAACCAATCACTGTTTCTGTTTCTCTCTCTCTGTCTCTCTCAGATTGGTAAATATATCCTTGGGTGAAGATTTAAAAACAAAAACAATAAAAACAAATCAGGCCCTGGACGGGTAGCTCAGTTGGGTAGATCGCCACCCTGATATGCCGAGGTTTTCGGTTCAATCCCCAATCAGGGCACATACAAGAAGCAATCAATGAATTCATACCTGGAATGATAAATCAATGTTTTTCTCCATTCTCTCTCTCTATAACCAATCAATAAAAAGTTAAAAAACAGTAACAAATCCACTGTACTGTGGAGATTTATATCGGCAGAAAAATTGTTCAGGACGTATATTTGAGTAAAAACAGCAGGTTATCCCACTGACACAAAATGTTAATTCAAGCTGGATAAATGAATGGTTGGACAGATAGATGGAAGGAGGTGAGGTAGGGGCAAAGATCCAGAAAAAGGGAGGGCAGCTATGAACCAGAAAGTTAAAAGTTTTTCTCTGAGTGAGCAGAAATTTCTACTTTTCTCCTTCTTACTTTTCCCTATTGTTTGCATGTTCTACTGTAAGCATTTCTTTATATTAACTCTCTAACTAAAATAAGTATCTGAGGGATGGAAGGATGGGAAAAAAAGTCAGCAATACAGTTTTTCCATTTTGGGGAAAGGAAAAAGTAATTTAATCATAAACAAACAAAACAGGTAACTTCCCTATAGTATCCTAACACTTCCATTATTAGAGTTCTGATAAATTAATCATTATCTAAACAGATGCATCAAAATTTAAAAAACTCGCCGAAACCGGTTTGGCTCGGTGGATAGAGCGTCAGCCTGCGGACTGAAAGGTCCCAGGTTCGATTCCGGTCAAGGGCATGTACCTGGGTTGCGGGCACATCCCCAGTGGGAGATGTGCAGGAGGCAGCTGATCGATGTTTCTCTCTCATCGATGTTTCTAACTCTCTATCTCTCTCCCTTCCTCTCTGTAAAAAATCAATAAAATATATTAAAAAAAAAATTTAAAAAACTCTCAATGAAGGGTATTAGTTGTTTAAAAATAAGGTGTGAAAATAAAGCACGAACTCAACAGATTTAATAAAATATTGTCTCAATATTATTTAGAAGACAAAGTAGGTTACTAAAAAAAAGGAGTGTTGCTCTGTATTCAAAGAGCCTCTAAAATTAAAGAAGGCACACAGCTGGTGTAGCTCTCTTACATCGATGTTTCTTTCTCTCTCCCTTCCTCCTTTTCTAAAATCAATAAAAACGAACAAAAAAAAACCTTTCTACATATAGCTGTGGGAAGGCCAAATTTGTCCAGAGTGGCTCTGCCCCACCTTTACAACAAAAAAAAGCCCTGGCTAGTGTGGCTCAGTTGGTTGAGCATTGTCCCGTGCACCAAAAGTTCACTGGTTTAATTCCTGGTCAGGGGACATACCCAGGTTATGGGATAAATCCCTAGTCAGGGTGCGTGCTGGAAGCAGTCGATCAATGTTTCTCTCTCACATCAATGTTTCTGTCTCTCCCCGCTCTAAAATAAATAAAAACCTATCTAAAAAATAAACCAATCAATAAATTAATTAAATTAAAAATAATGCATTTCAACAGTCATCATTATGACTACTATAAGACTTAATTCAGAACTTACCTTTACTTTGGGTTTAGGTGCAGGAATCACCTTTTTCTTTGCCCTAACACAAAAAATTAAAAAGGAGAGCATTTCAGTAGCAGTTAAGTCACTCATTAGGAAAGTATAACATAATCTTGTAATTACATGGGTAAATAATTTCTTCTGCTATTTGGAAAACTCTTTGAAGGAAGGAACTATATGTAAGCGCTCAATTCATATGTGAATAGGCAGCAACATTTCCCCCAATTTTGATGAAAAACCAAAATATGAAATGTAGATAAAGTTTTTTAAAAAATTAAATGTGAATATTCACAATAAAATAAAAATAACTCAAAATAGGCTAACAAAGTTGCCTAAGGCTTCTCACTTCAAAGAACTGGTAAAAATTTAAATTATTTTTAGGAAAACAGCTTTGAAAAACTTCCAGCTCAAATTAAATCATGCTAAGAAATTGTAAATGAGATATTTGAAAAACAAAACAAAGCCCTTGCTGAATAGCTCAGTTGGTTAGAATGTTAACCCAATATGCCAAGGTTTCTGGTTCAATCCCTGATCAGGGCACATTCAAAAGTCAACCAATAAACGCATGAATATGTGGGACAACAAATCAATGTCTCTCTCTGTCTCCATACCCCCTTATTCTCTATCTCTCTAAAAGGAAAAAAGTTTTGCCCGGCTGGTGTTGCTCAGTGGCTGCATGTCTACCTATGAACCAGAAGGTCAACTTTTGATTCACAGCCAGGGCACATGCCTGGGTTGCAGACTCAATCCCCCAGTATGGAGCATGCAGGGGGCAACTGATGGATGATTCTCTCTTATCATTAATGTTTCTATCTCTCTCTCCCTTTCTCTCTGATATATATATATGTGTGTGTGTGTGTGTGTGTGTGTGTGTGTGTGTATATGTATATGTATATGTATATGTATATATATATGTATATGTATATATATATACACTAGTGGCCTGTTGTACCAAGATTCACGCAATAGGCCTTCCTTTCCCTGGCTGCCGGCACCGGTTTTCCTCCGGCACCCGGGACCCAGGCCTTTGGTCCAGCCGCAGCAGCGAGGCTTGGTTTCTCCGCTGCGGCTGCTCCCAGCCCCTCCTCCCCCCCAGCTCCTTGAGCAGAGCCCGGGGGCGGGGGGGGGGGGGGGGCTGGAAACCTGGGTCGCTGGCGACCCAGCCCCCCAGCCCCTCCTTGAGCGGAGCCTAGGACCGGCAGGAAGCTTGGCTTCCTCTGTCGCTGGGACCAACCCAAGCCTCCTGCTCGCTCCAGCTTCGTGGCTGCCGCCATCTTCAGTTTTCGCTCCATGCCTGCACATGCAAATTAACCGCCATCTTTGCTGGGTTAATTTGCATAGTCGCTCTGATTGGCTGGTGGTTGTAGTGGAGTGGCAGAGTGATGGAGTGATGGTTAATTTGCATGTTTATTTTTTATTAGTGTGTGTGTATGTATGTGTGTGTGTGTATATATATATATGTATATATATGTATATATTTTTTGCAAAAATTTGTCTCTGAATTTTTTTTCTATTTTTTCCCCAATTACAGTTGACATACAGGTTTTCTTTCCTTTTAAAAAATGTTTTTTAAAAATTATTTTTAACATAAAACTCAAATAAAAATGTTGAAACAACAGAAAAAAAGGCAAGAAAAAATACCATGGAAACTTTGGAAGCCAGTGTGAAAAAGTTTGAAGATTAAAACACTCATAAGTTCCATAGTAGGAGAAAATACTCAAATATTTGTTGAATAATTAAAGAGTTGACAAGCTAAAATACCTCACATTGTTTGAATATTTGTATTTCACTTAATTGAATGTCATTACTTAGATTAACAAATATCTTTTTTTAAAAAATACATTTTTATTGATTTCAGAGAGGAAGGGAGAGGGAGAGAGAGAGAAACATCAATGATGAGAATCATTGATTGGCTGCCTCCTGCACGCCCCCAACTGGGGTTCGAGCCTACAACCCAGGCATGTGCCCTTGACCAGAATCGAACCTGTGACCTTTCAATCCACAGGCCGACGCTCTATCCACTGAAACCAACCAGCTAGGGCAGATTAACAAATATCTTAATTAAAACTGCCAATCTACAACTTTATTAAGACAACAGTAATATTCAAAGTGTTTTTTGTTTGTTTGTTTGTTTTTTTAAGAAAGAGCACTTGAACAAAAGATTTCCAGGCTCACCTATCCCATAGATTCCTACGTTCTGGTACAAAACAAAACAGAAAATTAGTTATATATATATATCTCCCCACTGTAGGATAACTAAACCACTTGCAACAAAGTACACCTATAATATATGAAACCAAGCTACTCCACATTTATAATAAAACTAGTGGCCCAGTGCACAAAATTCATGCACAGGGGGGCGGAGGGGGGAAGGGAGTGTCCCTCAGCCTGTCCTGCACCCTCTCCAATCTGGGACCCCTTGGGAGATGTCCGACTGCTGGTTTAGGCCTGAAACCTGCAATCGGACATCCCTCTCGCAATCCGGGACCGCTGGCTCCTAACCGCTCACCGGCTTGCCTGCCTTATCGCCCCTAACCACTCTGCCTGCCAGCCTGCTTGCCCCCAACTGCCCCCTCTGCCAGCCTTCTCGCCCCCAACTGCCCCCCCTTGCCGGTTTGCTCACCCCCAACTGCCTCCCCACCCCCGCTGGCCTAATCGCCCTCAACTGTCCTCCCATCCTGGCCTGATTGCCCCTAACCGCCTCTGCCTCGGCCCCGCCACCATGGCTATGTCCGGAAGGTCTCCCGGTCTAATTAGCATATTACCCTTTTATTAGTATAGATAATAAAAGAATTGAAAACCACAACTAACTCAATACATCTCTGATGGTGTACTAAGAAACTGTCCTTCCTACCAGCTGCAAAACAATTACATCTATTATAACTTATACAAGGAGAGACGGAATTTTGTAATGTCACCCAGAGGATGTTACCAAGACCTCTTAGCAGAATACTGAATTAGAATGCTCAGTAAATTCTCAGTAACTTGCTAAATTTTATACTTTATTAACCCCTTAATACTACACTTTTAGACTATAGGGAATTAGCCCTAAGTTGAAGGTAAAAATAAAATTCTTGTTGAGTTAACCAGTACTCATTAAAAAATGTAACCACGCCTTTTTATTACAGCCTACAGGAGGATAAGAGAGCTTTCTTTAGTAATCACATCACTAAGGAAATACCTGGTTTTGAACAGAAGAAAGGACAGGAAGAGTAAGTTAATTTTTTGGAATAAAACACTGCAAGGCCAGGAAGTGTAGGTATGTACACAGAACTATCTTGGAAAGTACAAGGTGTTGGGCTACCTAAGTAGATAGTCATTAACAGGGGGAGAAAAAGGGCACAAAAGAACTGAAGGGCACATACCCAGGTTATGGTAAGTTATGGTTCCCAAGAACAAAGGAAACCGCCAGAGCCTTGTTTACATGGCTCCTTACCACCATATCTCAGGCCAATGGTAACATTATGGATTCAGATTTTTGGAAACTACCCTGAGAACTGTTAATAGATAAGTGTGTTCGAGGTCTATATAGTCAACAGTAAAAATGATCTTTTTAAAAGAGGCAGTGGTAACATGGAGATTGTCTAAATGTACGTTTAAGTCAGATTTCAAATAGCATTAAATAAATGATACTTTCGTTTACTAAAGCACATGATTTGAATAAAAATAGAGTCTGAATTTACTCACGGGGCAGAAGTAAGATGATTATGTACACTCCGACTTTCCTTAAAAAGCATTCTGGAAAAATTTAAAGCACACAATTAATTTTTTATAGTAGATAAATAATATGATAATCACTTTATCATTTTAATCATTTGATTTTCAACAATCTATTATTTGCTTATTTACCAAGTAAAAGTTATCAGTAAATTCAAAAACCGATCTTACACAGAGTTTTACATTACCTCTATTTTAAATCATTAACAGATCAACAGATGTTTTCTGTTGATTTAAGATGGAATGCTTTAAGATGACAGGTTGAGACAGCCAAGTCTAATACTTAAGTCTTTAAACTTTAAATTAGCTTTGAGATACCACTCTATATTGAATACTTTCAACAGAACCTATGGCTATGCCTCTTTTTCTATACTATTCTAGATCTTGCATTCAGTCCCTTATCTTCACAATGCCCATATGAAGTTCCCCTTCCAAAGTTCAAAGCCATCTTTCTCCCTACTACAAAATATAGATATGAAAAAGAAAAAGTGGTCGGTTAAAAAAAATCACCTTTATGTATATTCTACATCGCTATGTCCATGTGACTCATTCTTTAGTCTTTTAAGTACTTGAAGTTTGCAAAGCATAGATCATTTGAGATGATTATACAGAATTTTAAACATATTAGGTTCTTAACAAAATGAATGTCATGTATGTGTGTGTACATATGTATCTTTAATAACAGCAGTAAGAAGAAAGTAAATAAATAAGATCTAGGATGTCATATTTCTTACCTTGCCTGCATCCAGCCCTTAGGCCACAATGGTTTCACCTCTGTCTCCATAAAGGATTTAAGATAATCCTCAGCAGACTGGCTTTTATTTGGCTCTAACTCATAGCATCCCAATTTGATCTCAACAAGGTTACATAACAAAGTTCTAAACAGATTAAAAATATATATTTATATATAAATCTGACTGAAAAATTTTAGAAAATTAAGCTTGAAACAGATTTTTTTAAAAGCACATAAATCTGACAGCAATAGTAAAGAATTATTATCTGAAGAAATCAGATAACATGAAGATAAATAATTTTTATCATATATTATTCATTGCACTATAGCCAAATCCCCACATGAAACAATTTCCTTTGATACCTTTAATCTAGGCACCAAAGACTGAAAGAGATAGTCCCTACAACTAAACCCTTACTTGGGGTACCAAACTGCTGATAAGCAAAATGACTGACAACACAAGTATACTGAGTCCTTTACCTTCTGAAACCAGTACATGGCTTACTCGATAACTGAATAATTAGCTTTAAAAAATCATTATATAAAAATAAAAGTTATAGCATTCTAAAAATAATAGGACCATGTCAACCTTCTCGTGAATAAATTTTTTCTATATACTTATCTTTGGTTGTTCCCAATCTAGTCTCCGACTTATTGTAGATTCTTTTTATGAAAACCTTACATCTCCATTATCTACTTAGTTACAAGTGAAGGCTTTGGTTACATCTTACCTAATGGTGTCATCCCAGTGGAATTTCTTTCTTGGTCCTATGACACGTTTCCCTGGTTTCTCATCATCATCTTCCTCGGATCCATTTTTTTCTCGTTCTTCATCTGTTTGCAACCTAAAAATAAAAAACATTTTATAAAGCAGAGTTTTAACTCAACATTGCATATAATAATACACTCCCTAGAAACTTGTTGAATTGCTTCATTGGATGTTAATTTAAAAGACAAGGTAAATAGGGAATCTACCATTCTACGTAATACTTTGAATTTCATTTGGGGTTATAAAGTCATTTGGTAAATAAGGTCTTCAAACTATAATATAAAGGCATGAATACTTATTTTTTAGTTCAGAATATATTTGTGTCCAATCTCAGACAGTCAAGTTGGTCAACATGTGAAATGTCTGACCAGTAGTGTCAACTCTTGCTTTGACCACACCCATACAATAAATCAACAGACCTTTCACCTTTGAAATCAAAGCAATTAAGTGGGAAGTGAAGTGTCATTTAGAATATATTTATTAGGTAAGTTTTAAATATTTTGATAAAAACCCACCTATTGGTATAATACCCACATATAGTACAAAAACCCACATATACAATTTTAGAGGTAAATGTATATGTCTACTTGGTGGTAAAGTCTACTTAACACCAACCCTTAACATCTAAAAATATTTATCAAACAAAACCCAGTTCAAATAGAATAAGTACATACTTGGCACACTTAGCTTGACTACGAGCCTGGCAGTCCTCCTGGTATTTAAATAGCTGTTGAGGCATGACATTGCTAACAGCCAGTTTCAGTTTTTGCAGAGGTTCTCTTAAACGATCATCCTAAGAAAAAAATAAAGTTTTTTCAAACATATTTACAAAACTTAATTTGTAAGCAGGTCCTGAAATGATGAACATTTATTCTTTTAGACATTAATTATAAATATGAAATGTTTAAATAATTAAGTACAGACATTGGTTTTACAATACTGACTTTTCATAATGCACATTGGATATAAAATTAGTATGACCATACTTCCCATGTAGCCAAGGAGAGTCTGTTTTTGCCTATTGCCCTAGCATAATTATTAATAATGCTCCTTTACGTTCCTAGAAATGCCTCATGTTTGGCTGACAAATTACATGAATACTTTAACTGTAATACAAATGATCAAATAGAGAACAAAATCTACACTGTGCAGACCACTACTGGATAATCTCATTATGATGGGGAACAAGTACCACAAGGAGAGAAACTGCTTCCGAACACTGCAACACATGATACAGCGTGGAAGACTACCAACAGGATGTTGGTTGACATCCTGTTCTCTCATTTATTGTTAGTAATTGTGACTTATGTTGCAAGCAAAAATGCAAGGTAAAGACCAAAATGAAAAAGGAAACTGGAAAACTCTTATTCACATGGGTTCAGAGCAAAAAGCAAGTAAATTTGTATCTGCCAGCTTTAATTAACCAATTAAATTATTTTCATCTTGCAAATAACAATATATGTAATTATTAAAACACATTTTTATTACTGTCATAGGTGCAGAAATATTATACAACTTTGCTTTTCTTCACTGACACAACTATTTTTAAAATGTGATTTCTGGTAAGGAGAGGATTTTTAGGAATGCAGTTACCATGTTATGGCAGGTATATTTTACAAATTAAAACATTTTATTTTATCAATAAACATTTATCTTATTAATAAAACCAAACTCAAATATTATTACTAATAAGCATTTACCTCTTTCAGGCATGCCAATGAATATTATTGCAACATCAAAGTGTCTGCTATAAAATCCCATTTTTTGAAATGTGAACATCCAGTGTATCACATGGTTCCTGGGTGATAGTGTTCACACAGCAGTAAAACTGTATGGAGGCACACTCTCCCCTTTCTTCCCTCTCAGGCCTTCATCTTCTAAACTCTATGGGACCCCACAAGACTTGCAACCAGGGAAGCAATAGTCAGCAGCATCTCATCTTGGGCTAACCCCCTGAACCTGTCTCCAAGGCCCCTTTTCTCTGACTTTCCAGAGAACCAGAGCAGCCCCGCCTAGAGTCTCTCTTGTTGCTTCTTCTATCATAAGTCCTTCCTTGTTTCACTTTAATAAACATACCCTCAAAATAAAATTAAAAAAACTGTATGGAGTTCCATCACAGGTAAAGACAGATAAATTTGAATTGCATAATGTTGAGTGTAAAAAGGCAAGCTGCAAAACAAAATAGACAATATGACTCAATTTATATGAAGCTCAAAAACATGTAAAACCAAACAATTTAATGCTTATGTTTACAAACATGTGTGATAAAAATCATATAAAGAAAAGCAAAGGTAAGATAAATACCTTCCTTCCTTAGTCAGTAAATCTATACTAACCGGTCATCTTCCAGACAACCTTCTGGACAAAGCCACAGTGGTGGGGGCCGAGGCAGAGCTGGTTAGGGGTGATGAGGACGGCAGGGGAGAGCAGTTGGGGGTGGTGAGGCCGGCAGGGGAGGGCAGTTGGGGGCTATCAGGCTGGCAGGCAGAGGTGGTTAGGGGCGATCAGGCAGGCAAGCAGGCGAGCGGTTAGGAGCCAGTTGTCCCGGATTGCGAAAGGGATCCCAGATTGGAAAGGATGCAGGGCGGGCTGAGGGACCCTCCCGCCCTGTGCACGAATTTTGTGCACTGGGCCTCTAGCATTAAATAACTTCAAATACCAAACCTGAAATGTCCCTTACAAAATATTTTACAATATGCAAAAAATTGTCATCCTACTTCTAATTATTATTTTTATTAATAAGGAGCTAGGCATAGACACAAATTCTGAGACCTTAGATAAATTTCACTTGTTCATTAACTGCTTTGAATTGAGAAAGAACTATAGTTTCTCAATTCAAAGAAGTATTTTATTAACAGAAGCTAAGTACCTACAGTAAAGAATTCCATGTCTGCCTGGCTGGGTGTGGCTCAGCGGTTGAGCATTGACCCAGGAACCAAGAGGTCACTGGTTCGATTCCCAGTCAGGGCATATGCCCGGGTTGTGGGCTTGATCCCAGTAGAGGCGGGTGTGCAAGAAGCAGCCAATCGATGATTTTCTCTCATCATTGATGTTTCTACCTTTCTACCTCTCCCTTCCTCTCTAAAATCAATAAAAGTATATACTAAAAAAAAAAAAATAATTCTATGTCTGTCAGATCAGACCTAATACAGTGAGCCAGACATATGTATTCTCCCATTAGCACCATGATAGACCTTGGATAGCCATATTGTGCTGTGTGACTCCTACCCCCAACCAGAAAAGTTTAGGTTGACCCAAAATATTAACATCAGATTGTCTGACCTAGGAATTTGGATTGGGATGAGTGAACTGAGTCAGTCTCTGTGTGTGGCTTTTCTGTGTAATGTAAAACCTTGAGAATCAAGTAATCTTATTTGCAGATGTACTTAACAGGATAAAAATGAGATGTGGGGAGAGAGGTAGAAAAAGAGTTAATCCAAATGATCAGTTCCCATTCTTCCTGGCTGCATTCTTTTTTTTAAAAAATATATTTTATTGATTTTTTTACAGAGAGAAAGGGAGAGGGATAGAGAGTTGGAAACATCGATGAGAGATAAGCATCGATCAGCTGCCTCCTGCACATCTACTGGGGATGTGCCTGCAACCAAGGTACATGCCCTTGACAGGAATCGAACCTGGGACCTTTCAGTCCGCAGGCCGACACTCTATCTACTGAGCCAAACCGGTTAGGGCCTGGCTGCATTCCTGCCCTTAGTTCCATGAAAAACCTTTATTCATAGAAAAAATGTCCTTGTTTGTCTTAAACTACATTCAAGTTATTTTCTGTTACTTGTAAGTTATAAATATTTTTTAACTATAGAGGCAAAAAATCATTAAGTGAAAAGTAATCAGGACAATAAAGGCATGAAAAACCATTTTATATGAAGTGAAGAAGGAGACATAATAAATGCTTTCAAAAACATGAAAGCGATGAAGTGGACAAATGATTAGATTTGTGGATGAATTCAAAGGTAGAATTAGGACCAACAGCTTAGAAAGCACCTGGGTTTGGCACAAAGCATGGAAGAACTTTCTGATATTATCCTATACTAGAGGCCCGAAGCACGAAAATTCGTGCAAGAGTAGGCCTTCCTTCCCCCAGCTGCTAACACCGGCTTCCGTCCAGCACCTGGGACCTGGACTGGCTTCCCTGTGTCCCCGGCTTTGTCAGGAAGGACGTCTGGAATGACATCCGGTCTAATTAGCATATTACTCTTTCATTATTATAGACTAGAGGCCTGGTGCACAAAATTTGTGCACAGAGGGGTGGGTCCCCTCAGCCCAGCCTGCACCCTCTCCAATCTGGGACCCCTCGGGGGATGTCCAACTGATCCCTGGGATCGGGCCTAAACTGCAGTCTGACATCCCTCTCACAATCTGGGACCCCTGGCTCCTAACTGCTCATCCGCCTGACTGCCTGATCGCCCTTAATTGCCCCCCCTGCCAGCCTGGTCACCCCTAACTGCCCCTCCCACTGGCCTGGTTGCCCCTAACTACCCCCCTTCCCCCCGGCGGCCTGGTCACCCCCAACTGTCCCCCCTGCTGGCCTGGTCGCCCCACGCAGCCTGCTGTTCAGCTGTTTGGTCGTCCCTCACTAACTCCCCTGCCTGCCTTGTCACCCCACGCAGCCTGTTATTCAGTAGTCCATCTGATTGTTTCAGTTGTGACAGCCCCTGGCTTTTTATATATTGGGATAGTATAAGCCCAGTGACTGAACGGCAGAACGACCAGAACGACCGCTCGACCAGTCGCTATGATGCACACTGACCACCAGGGGGCAGATGCTCAACGTAGGAGCTGCCCACTGGTGGTCAGTGTGCTCCCACAGTGGGAGCGCTGCTCAGCTAACCGGGATGAGCACCGCTCCCACAGCGGCCGATCCCCGCATCCACGCCCCCCACCAGTGCACGAATCCCGTGCACCGGGCCTCTAGTAATGAAATAAGTTTCTGACCATGAGAGCATTCATCTTCGACAATCACTTAGTGGGGTTGCAGTTGAGGAGAATCTAGCAAAATATGGATAATTAGACTAGATAATTTTTAATTTTACATGCAACCCTGTGATTCTTTCCATTGGTCTGCATAATATCTGTAGAGATCCATTTCTGGGGTAAGAAAATTGAATTATAAATATGTCAGTTTATTTGCTGAAGGCAAAGTTGTGTTAGCTGTGCAATAGGTTAATTTACTAGTCCAAGAATCTATGCCTTAGAAAATATTATTTCTCACCTAAACCTATCAATTATTGAAAAGTAATTTTTTTCAGGGGATCCAATGTGCCATTAATATTCATACAACGTGACTATAAAGCAATTAATATGCAAAATCCCCCAAAAGAAACCAGTCTCTTTACAGGTTATAAACCTCCCAATGTAGGTATCATTGTTTCTCCTCTTACCTGGACGTTAAGATGTAGCTTCTTTAGACGCTTTACCAGTGTTTCTTTATTGCATGGCACAAACGCTTCAAGATGGGCGTAGACACCACTGCGAATGACGGGGCCTAGTTCCTGCAGCTGTAACTCAATGCTGACCAAAAACAACAAATAAATAGTAAAGAATATCTTTCAGGTAGCAACAGCCAAGCAAGGAGGCAAAGGAAGTGACTCTTTTCTCATTTTACATTTCCTAGACTGTATTTTTCAAGGAAAAGTAATTAATAGTGATGCTATAGAAAATTTCGATGAGCTTAGTTTCAGAGAACTTATATAATCTCAAACAAGCTGGCAAATAATATTTTTCATGGCTGCAACCAAGTCTACATTTTTGGGTAAAGCAAAGGAACTCCATTATTAACCAAAAGTTCCTTTTCTCAAAGAGATATCATACGCCCTTCAACCCTTACAATTACTATACTAGTGAGTCACATATGAGTTCTTAGAGTACTTTTTCCTTAGTTGTTTGAAAATTTCAGATTCAAAAGAGGTAAAACTTTTCTGGCTGCACATACAGACTGTTTCATCCATCTTTGATTACTTTATTGGGCCTGTATTACAAGCTAGGTATTTAACAGCCTGTTTGCACAATGAAATCGTTTAACAATGCATTTCTCAGAATGTACCCCCATTCTTTTTTTTTAAATATATTTTATTGATTTTTTACAGAGAGGAAGGGAGAGGGCTAGAGAGTTAGAAACATCGATGAGAGAGAAACATCGATCAGCTGCCTCCTGCACACCCCCTACTGGGTATATGCCCACAACCAAGGTACATGCCCTTGACTGGAATCGAACCTGGGACCCTTGAGTCTGCAGGCCAATGCTCTATCCGCTGAGCCAAACCGGTTAGAGCCTTTTTTTTTTTTTTTAATAAATATGTATTTCATTGATTTTTTTTACAGCAAGGAAGGGAGAGGGATAGAGAGTTAGAAACATCGATCAGCTGCCTCCCGCACAGCCCCTACTGGGGATGTGCCCGCAACCAAGGCACATGTCCCCAAATGGAATCGAACCTGGGACCCTTCAGTCCGCAGGCCGACACTCCATCCACTGAGCCAAACCGGTTAGGGCTGTACCCCCATTCTTAAGCAGTGTATTTAAGCACACATCTCTCACAGATCTACTTTAATATTTTTTTCCTAAGAATTCCAATCTTCTAAGGCTCCAGAAGTAGCCAACTAAAAACACTTGGCACCCAAAGTGTGATTTTCAGTTATTTTTACATTTATTTCACAGAGAAACAAAGTTCTCTTGAAGTGGTGAACTTTCTTGAGCCCTGCCTCCTACTTTCTACCAGGCTCCTTTTCCTTCTTTAAGTGAAATCTATCCAAAGGCAGATTTCTATGCATGAAAGTTACTATGAATGGGCCTTGAACCTGATAACAAATTATGAGCATGAGATCACTACAGGTTCTAAATGAATGAAAATATACTGGGACCATCTGCTATTAAAGGCACTAGAGAACAAATATTGGGTTCTGTTGAGTAAATAGGCTGGAAACTCACTTTTATATCCCTGTCTACACAAAACTCTCCTTTGTCTCTGGAGAAGTTTCAAAGAAATGAAACATGGAAATCTGTAGTGGAAGCAATAGCCATCTTTGTAAACAAGATTCTCCTACTGAGGAATATTTAGTGATAACTATGGTATCATCCTTTCTACACAGAATTCTAGAAATACAGTCATTTTCCCAAAGGTGATATATGGCACATCTTCCTACCATGTAAACTTCCTCTTTCTAAAAAAATCATTCTTAATAAATTTAAAACACTAATAATAAGAAAAACTCAGTCCAAATGAATTCTGGAATCTACTGAATTTCCTGGAGTTTCCTCAAGTATTCCAGATATCCTACCAATATTGTCCAAATAATACAACCACTGAAAACTAACTGAAGAAAGCTTAGGGAACAATAACCCAAATTCAAAATCCCAAATATCTCTTTACCTTAAAGCAAAAATTCAAAAGCCTGTTGATGTGCTAACTAATACTAGACAAGAGGTGTGTTCATCCCTCTTCTCCCTGAATAACTACTTAATTCAGGTGGGCTGGTTCTAGGGTTACCTAAAGAAGACTTGGTATGGAACAGGTTAGAAGTATGTTTGAAAAACTGTTTGGGATTCCTCCAATTGCAAAGCAGCCCCTCAAAAGAGTAAGGAAAAGCTGTGGCTTGTGACCAACCCTTTCACTTTGCTAACCTTCAATTCAAAGAAAGAGAAACATACAGACAGGCAGACCAATTGGTAAGCCCATTTATATTGAGACTAGAGGTCCGGTGCACGAATTCGTGCATGGGTGGGGTCTGGCCGGCCTGCCCGGATTGGGTCGATCAGGCCAGCTAGCCGGGGGAGGGGCCTTAGGCAGTTGGCTGGCCGGCCCTGCCTCCTGGTTGAACTCCTAGTCAAGGGAACAATTTGCATATTAGCCTTTTATTATATAGGATTCACATCACACTCACAAGCTCCTTAAAGGAGCATCTAACAATGAAGGAAGACAGATCTCACTGCCAAATATCCAATAGGATTGGTAGTACCTGCCTAAAGCATTTGTTGAGCAGAATTGTCAGGCTGAATTAGAATAATAGGCAAAGAATCAAGATTTTATTAGCAATGTCAGCTTGAAGTAAAGAAGGAAATAGGGGATGAAATCAAGCCAGCATGTTGTTAATTTGTTGATCCAGGTCAAATTCATTAGGCTAAAAGTAAAAGGGTACTCTATTCCAACAAACTCATCTCTTTTTCTCTCCAGCCATGGTGAAGAGGAAGCAATGGTGAGGCAGAGCCAATACACCTGAGTAACTTCATGGGAATAACTAAACCAAATAATCATCTACCATATGTCCCTAGAAGATCAATTCAGTCCAGAGAAATAAGGGATTTTGGGTCAGGAAAGTGGACAAAGAGGCCAGGGTGGTATAATAAACTTACTAAAAGAGAAAAAAATTCAACTAAACACTCTGACTTGTAGAATTGGAGGCACACTTTCTATGAAATAAAAAATAGATGGGCCCTGGCCCAGTAGCTCAGTTGGTTGGAGCATCATTCCAATACACCAAAGTTGCAGGTTCCATCCCTGGTTAGGGCACATACAAGAATCAACCAATGAGTGCATGAATGGGTGGAACAACAAATCAATCAATCAATCTCTCTCTCTCTCTCTCTCAAAATTAATAAATTTTTTAAAAATTTAAGTAGATTGGCTCCAAAAACCTAGAGGATTTGTTTTAGAATAGACATGAGAGGAACTGACAGAGAAGTCAGTTAATGGAATGCTGCTATTCCGCTTATTTGAGATGTTATTTCCCAAGGATGGTCTTTTGATTCTCTCAGGGGAGCTATACTAGTAGCTGTTCCCTTACAGAAAAGTAAAATAAAAAAGAATTGTCTCCGTCTCAGGAAAAGGACCTGATCTAGTAAACTTAGGGCTTTCAAATGGAAAGAAAAAGAAGAGCTAGGCAGATCCCTGATTATGGAATCTGGGACAGCTCTGATGAGAAATGTTATATTGTTTATTGAATCTGGGGTTTTACGGGAGCTAGGTAAAAGGAGCTGGTGCCAACAGGAAGCATTTGCCTTGCTTTCAGGCAAACAGAAACAACTTGAAAAGCCCTGGATTAAATAAAGAAGAACAGGAACAAAATTTCACCATATTAGAAGTAGCATACTAGGTTGTATGTTTCATGAAATCCATGGTACTTAAAAGTTTTAGTACTACAGCATAAGAGAATGCAATTCATTAAAATAGTTATCAGAACCAACAAACCAATTCATCCTTTATATCTTGAGAAACTATCTTCATTATATATTTAAAAGAGAAATGATAGTATTAAAAACATTGCTTTTTTGTTTCTTTCTAAATGATGCTACTGAACTACCAACACATTATTTTCATCAGAGAAGTAAATTTTGCTGCTTTCCCCAGAATCATTTGTTTGTTTGTTTTTGGCACAGTTCTGCTTGCAGTCAATTAGATATCCAATTTCCAATGGTCAAAATTTATAAGCCAATAGGTTTATATCTTATGAGATCACAATATTAGAATCTGCAGCTTTATTAGTATCAAACTGTGAGAGTGAAAATGATCACTACTTTAAATATAACCTATATCATATATCAGCCTTCACCCTCTCCTCCTAAATCTAACTTCTGTCTTTTCCACATTGGACTCAATCCTATCCCACAATCATCATTTCTTAATTAAACCATACTTTCCACTTGGCTTTAAGAGTTCATAATGTATTTTTCCAAAGTCTGAAAAGTAGACAGAAAATTATACCAAATTTAATATAAACAGAGCTATCACAGAATGTTTTATATAAGTTGGTAAAATATACATATAAACCTAGAGTACTATTCAATCTGTACAGTGGTCACTTGCTCTGGCAGTTATAATATTAGAAGCTTTGATTATCATAGGGGTCCAAAAGAACCAATACATGCAGAAGCATAATTTTGCTGAGAAACAAATGTTTATCATACAAATGTTCATCATACATACTGGGAGGCTGAAAGGGAAGAGCTAATGTATGAGACTAGCCAGGCACTCAGTATTTGCATTTCAAAAGCCTACTATATACCTTTTATCTTTTAAAATGTGTTTGTATTAATTTTAGAGAGAGAAGAAGGAAGAGGGGAGAAGAAGAGAAAGGAACATCGATCAGCTGTGCCCACTGCCGCCTCCCCCACCCCCCATGCACCTGACTGGGGATTGAGCCCTAACCGGAATCAAACCAGTGACCTTTCGGTTCACTGGACGATGACTAACTAACTTAGCCACACCGGCCAGGGCGAGGTCTACTATATTTTTAAATAAATTCTTAAAGTTTAAATAATTTTTAAGGATTTTAATCAAAGAAGAAAATACTTACTCCAGAAGAATATTATTCATATCCTGTGTAAAGAATTTTTTCCTTCCTTCTTCATCAAAAAGTTTGGCAGCCTAGAGAAACATAAGATTGACAACATAACCCTTAAGAAACACATTATTTGCTTCCATATTTATTTACTAAAGAATCAGCTCTTTGAGGATGGGGTTATAATTTTTTTCACTTTGTATTCTTAATACCCAATTTCGTACCTGGCATAAGGAGGCAATTAAAGAGTGCTGAAACTATTTTAGTATACACACCATTCTTTCTGACTATGTCTGTATTTCATTTTTTTCAATCTACCTAAATTCACAAAATTTCCATATAAGATTTATTTAGTGTTTTGGTTGTCTTGTGTATTTTATTAATTTTTAAAAAAAATTTTTTTAAATATATTTTATTGATTTTTAAAAAAATATATTTTATTGATTTTTTACACAGAGGAAGGGAGAGGGATAGAGAGTTAGAAACATTGATGAGAGAGAAACACCGATCAGCTGCTTCCTGCACACCCCCTACTGGGGATGTGCCCGCAACCAAGGTACATGGAATCGAACCCGGGACCCTTCAGTCCGCAGGCTGACGCTCTAGTCCAGGGGTCCTCAAACTTTTTAAGCAGGGGGCCAGTTCACTGTCCCTCAGACCGTTGGAGGGCCAGACTATAGTTTTAAAAAAAACTACGAACAAATTCCTATGCACACTGCACATATCTTATTTTGAAGTAAAAAAACAAAACGGGAACAAATACAATATTTGTATTTGCATGTGGCCCGCGGGCCATAGTTTGAGGACCCCTGCTCTATCCACTGCGCCAAACCGGTCAGGGCTTGTTAATTTTTGCTATGGTCTCCAAGATAACAGAAAGCAGATGTCCCACTTTCTACAGACATTATTGTTTACAATGTGTATCATATTCTACACTTTATACCCATTACCTTGTTAAATACTCATAACTGGTGAAACTGGTATTAAACCCTCATTTTACAAACAAGGGACCAAAATCTTAAATAGGTTATACAATATGCCCCCAAATCACACGGCTACTAAGTGGTGGACCTAGGACTCAGACCAGAAGCGTTCTAACTTCTCCTCTGTAACACTGCCACCCTTGGTTCTACCTAATTACATACTAACAAAGAAAACATTAGCCTAGGTATAAGCAAAAATTAATTCAATGAGCTTAAGGATAATATTTTCATCATTATGTTTGTCACCTTAACCAGCCTGACAAGAAACAAAGAGTGTACAAACCAAGACAATCTACCATAAGCAAATTTTACTGGGGAAATTACAAAGAACAGTTTATCTTGATTTCCATGAGATGTAAAAAATCAAGCCTGATCCAATAATCCGATATAGTCACATGCTGATTCTGTCAATCTACCAAGCATCTGACAATTTTACATGCAGTAAATAGAAGAATAAAATTTCTGAGATGTATCTCAGCACTTCTTAGAAAGGATGCAGACTGGTATATGTAGGGAGTAGAAATACAGGAAGAAAGCCAGAATGAAAACTAAACTTCAAGAAAGAGAAACAAAAATGTCAAGAGGCTGAACACTGGAAGAATGTTTCAAAGCGAGAAAAGAGCAACAAGAACAAACTCCTCATCAGACAAACACAAGGATGAATTCTCATCTCCTGAAGAAAAAAAACCATCTTGTATTTCAAAGAAAAAATATGGAGAATTCATAGACATCAGTAAATAAAACGAATCTTCTTACTCCTGGTATGACTATTACAGAGAAAAATTACAGTTTTTGATATCTGAAATATGACAGTTTTACAAGATTGAAACACATTCATTACTAAGCAGTTTTGTTTATTAAATGAGAATGAATTGCATATAACACAGCAGAGGAAGTGCAAACTATGGAGCTTGATGGTCCTGCCTTTAAATCTTCACTTTGAAATATGTCTCAGCCACTTAAAAATCACATGGCCATGGCCAAATCACTTAACCTTTTGAATCTTGGAATACTACCTACCCCATGATTGTTTGAGGGTTAGACTGACTATATAGTATGTAAAGTACACTAAATCCAGTCAGGGCACGGTCTCCTCAATGGTAAAAGGTGCCTTGTGACTGTGGGACACTGTACACTCAATACACAGTACAGGCATTTGCTAAATAAACAATAGCAATTATTATCAATTACATGTTGGAAAACCTGGATCACATCATCAGCACTTTTTAAAACCTATAAAGCATCTAGGGGTGGGGCAACATGGGAATAACAAAAAGGATATACTTTGGAATCTGGACAACCTGTTTTTAAGTTCTGGCTCCACCACTTACTAGTTGGACTTGACCAAGCTATTTAACCTATCACTTAAGTTTCTCAACCACAAAAAGAAAACAATACGCCCTAGCCAGTTTAGTTCAGTGGATAGAGCATCGGCCTGTGGAACACAGGGTCCCCAGGTTGGATTTTGGTCAAGGGCATGTACCTTGGTTGCAGGCTCCTTCCCAGCCTGGGCCCTGGTTGGGCTCGTGCAAGAGGCAACCAATCGATGTGTTTCTCGCACATCGATGTTTCTCTCTCTCTTTCCCTCTCTTTTGCACTCTCCCTAAAAATCAATGAAAATATCCTTGGTTGAAGATTAACAACAACAACAAAAAAACAAAAAGAAAAGAAAAAGAAAACAATACCTATACTTGATACTTGGAGTAGTTGAGAAGATTAAATAAACAAACTTTTAGATGAACAAAACTGTAGATTATACTGTGTCTTTCGTTACATGCTTAATTTCCCCTATGTTAACTAATATGCCAAATGAGAGGACAAATTCAGTAAACAGAAAAACTTGTCCGTATTTATATAGACATCTTTAGTGCTGTTTTGTTTTTAGAACTTTTTTTTTTATTGGATTAAGAATGTAGTTCCTATTTGCCCTGGCTGAGTGGCTCAGTTGGTTAGAGCATCATCCTGCTATGCCAAGGTTGCATGTTTGATCCCCAGTCAGGCACATACAAGAATTAACCAATGGGCCCGACTGGCGTGGCTCAGTGGTTGAGCGTAGACCTATGAACCAGGAGGTCACAGTTCAATTCCCTGTCAGGGCACATGCTCGGGTTGCGGGCTCAATCCCCAGTGTGAGGCATGCAGGAGGCAGCCGATCAATGATTTCTCTCTCATCATTGATGTTTCTATCTCTCTCTCCCACTCCCTTCCTTTCTGAAATGAATAAAAAATAAAGAATTAACCATTGAATGCATAAATAAGTGAAACAACAAAATGATGTTTTTCTCTCTCTCAAATCAATAAAAATATAAATTAAAAAAAGAAAATAAATATAAGTGGACAAAACTCATCATTAAAATTCAAAGATTGTCAAAATGGAGTAAAAATGTAGTGCTTTTAGAATGTACTTGAACTTAAACACCTATCAGGTTAAAATAGACTGCTATAGGGGGTGGGAGCAGCTGGGGAGATGTCAATGGGGGAAAAAGGAGATTTATGCAATACTTTAAACAATAAAGAGTAAAAAAAAAATAGATTGCTATAGATACAGATTGGTATATATGAACCTCATGGTAACCACAAACAAAACGACAACAACAAAAAATACAGAACAATAAAGAGCAAAAGACCCAAACAAAACACTAAAGAAAACCAGCAAACCAAAAGGAAAGAGATCAAGACAAGTAACAGAGAATGACAAAAACAACAACAAACAAATAACAATGACAATAAGTACATGCCTATCAAGAATTACTTTAAATGTAAATGGCCTAAATGTTCCAATGAAGACTTAGGGTGGCTGAATGAATAAAAAACAAGACCCACCTATGTTCTGCTTATGAGATACTCACTTTAGATAAAAAGACACACAGATTGAAACTGAAGGGATATAAAAAGATGTTACATGCAAATAGAAACGAAAAGAAAGCTGAGGTAGCAATACTTATGACAAAACAGACTTTAAAATAAGGACTATAAAAGGAGACATAATGATAAATGGGTCAATGCAGTAAGATACTGCAATTGTAAATATATCTATTCACCTAACACAGGAACATCTAAATACATAAAGCAGTCCTAGCCTGTTTTGCTCAGTGGATAGAGCATCGGCCAGCAGACTGAAAGGTCCCAGGTTCGATTCCAGTCAAGGGCATGTGCTCGGGCTGTGGGCTCAATCCCCAGTAGGGGGTGTGCAGGAGGCAGCCAATCAATGATTCTCTCTCATCATTGATACCTCTATCTCTCTCTCCCTCTCCCTTCCTCTCTGAAATCAATATATTTTAAAAAATAAATATATAAAGCAAATATTAATGGGCATAGAAAGAGAAATTAACAGCAATACAATATTATTGGACTTTATACTCCTCTAACATCATTGGGCAAATCAGAGATAGAAGATTAATATAAAATAATGACATTAAATGTCATATCAGATCAACTTAATAGACAATCCTAGAACATTTCATGCAAAAACTACAGAGTACACATTTTTTTCAAGTGCACATGGAATATTCTCCAAGACTGATCACATATTAGGTCACAAAACAAGTGTCAATTAATTCAATAATGTTGAAAATAGAGAATTTTTTTCCGACCACAATGATATGAAACTAGAAATCAACTACAAAAAGAAAACTGGAAAAAAAACAAACACATGTAGACTAAACAATATGCTATTAACAACCAATGGATTAAAGAGGAAATTCAAAAATATTTTGAGATAAATGAAAATGAAAACAAAACTCCCTAAAATTTATGGGATGCAGCAAAAGCAGTTCTAAGATGGAAAGTTGTTTTTTTTTTATATATATATTTTATTTATTTTTTACAGAGAGGAAGGGAGAGAGATAGAGAGCTAGAAACATCGACCAGCTGCCTCCTGCACATCTCCTACTGGGGATGTGCCCGCAACCCAGGTACATGCCCTTGACCGGAATCGAACCCGGGACCTTTCAGTCCGCAGGCCGACGCTCTATCCACTGAGCCAAACCGGTTTCGGCGAGATGGAAAGTTAATAGCTATACATACCTACCTCAAGAAAGAAAAATCCCAAATAAACAATTTAACTTTATACCGAAACTAGAAAAAGAACAAAACCCAAAATATATAGAAGAAAGGAAATAATAATGATCACAGCAGAAATATAAGAGTTAGAGACTAAAAATACATAATAGAAAAGATCAATGAAATTAAGTGCTGGTTCTTTGAAAGGATAAACAAAATCGACAAACCTTTAGCCAGATTGATTCATCAAGGAAAAAAGAGAGCCCAAATAAATAAAATCAGAAATGCAAGAGAAGAGTTTACAATCAACACCACAAAAATACAAAGGATCATTAAGGAATAGTATGAACAATTATATGCCAACAAATTGGACAATCTAGAAGAAATGGATAAATTCCTAAAAACATACATCTTTTTAAGACTGAATCAAAAAGAATCAGACTCTGAATAGACTAATTACTAGTAATGATATTGAAACAGTAATTAAAAAACACCCCAAAAAAACAAAAGTTCAGAACAGACAGCTGCACAGGTGGATTTTACCAAACATTTAAAGAAGAATTAATACCTATCCTTGAAAAAATTGAAGAGAAAGGAACTCATTCTACATGGCCAGCATTATCTTAATACCAAAATCAGACAGGCACTACAAAAACATAAAATTGCAGGCCAATAACACTGATGAACATAGATGTAAAAATTAGCAACAAAATACTAGCAAATGAAATTCAACAATACAGTAAAAGTATTACATACAATGATCAAGTGGGATATATACCAGGAATGCAAGGATGGTTCAATATCCACAAATTAATTAACATGATACATGAATCAACAAAACCAAGCATAAAAATGACATGATCATCTCAATAGATGCAGAAAAAGCATCTGACAAAATTTAACATCTATTTATGAAAAAAATTTCAGTAAAGTAAGTATAGAGCGAACTTAGCATAACATAATAAAAGCTACATAACAACAAATTCATAGCTACAACTTACTCAGTGGTGAAAAGCTGGAAGCTTTTCCTCTAAAATCAGGAGCAAGACAAGAATGCCCACTCTCACCACTATTATTCAATATAGTATTGGAAGTCCTAGCTACAGCAGTCAGACAAGAAAAAGAAATATAAGGCATCCAAATTGTAAAGGAGGAAGTAAAACTGTTACTATATGCAGATGACATAATAACAAAAATCTGTCGCATTTCTATACACTAATAATGAATGATCAAGAGAAATTAAGAAAACAATCCTATTCACAACTGCATCAAAAATAATAAAATACTCAGGAATAAATTTAACCAAGGATGTAAAAGACCTGTACTCTGAAAACTTTTACAAACTTAAGAAATTAAAGAGGACACAAATAAATGAAAGGATATACCATGCTAATGAATTGGAAGAACTAATACCATTAAAATGTCCATACTAGTCCACCCGCTGTGGCTCACTGGTTGAGCAGTTGAGTGTCAACCCATGAATCAGGAGGTCATGGTTTGATTTCTGGTCAGGGCACATGCCCAGATTGCAGGCTCGATCCCTACTAGGGGGCGTGCAGGAGGCAGCTGATCAATGATTCTCTCTTATCATTAATGTTTCTATCTTTCCCTCCCTCTCCCTTCCTCTCTGAAATCAATAAAAAATATATTTTAACAAATTATAAATATAAACATTATCACTAATAAAGCTGAATTTATTTTTTAAAAAAAGAACAAAGCTGGAGATAACACATTCCCAGGTTTCAAACAATTTATAAAGCTACAATAACCAAACAGTATGGTACTACCACAAAAACAGACACAAAGATCAATGAAACAATAGAGAACCCAAAAATAAGTGGTGCTAAGAAAACTGGAAAGATGTGTGCAAAAGAAATTAAACTGCACCACTCTTTCATACCATATACAAAAATAAACTCAAATTGAACTAAACATTTTTTAAAAATATATTTTATTTATTTTTTACAGAGAGGAAGGGAGTGGGATAGAGAGTTAGAAAGATCAATCAGCTGCCGCCTGCATACCCCTTACTGGAGGATGTGCCAGCAACCAAGGTACATCCCTTTGAACGGAATCGAACCTGGGACCCTGCAGTCCACAAGCTGACACTCTATCCACTGAGCCAAACCGGTTAGAGATGAACTAAACATTTTTAAAAATATATTTTTATTGTTTTCAGAGAGGAAGGGAGAGGGAGAGAGAGATGAAAACATCAATGATGAGAGAGAATCGATTGGCTGCCTCCTGCACGCCCCCTACTGGGACCAAGCCCACAACCCAGGCATGTGCCCTTGACCAGAATTGAACCTGGGACCCTTCAGTCTGCAGGCCGCCACTCTATCCACTGAGCCAAACTGGCTAGGGCATCATTTATTTATGTTTATTGATTTTTTTTTTCTTTTAGAGAGAGAGAGAGGGAGAAAGACAGAAACATCAATTTGTTGTTCCACTTATTTATGCATTCACTGATTGATTCTTTTATGTGCCCTGACCAGAGATCAAACTTGAGTAACCTTGGTATATTGGGACAATGCTGTAACCAAATGAACTACCAGGCCAGGGACTGTACTAAAGATTTAAATATAAGACCTGAAATCATAAAACTTCCAGAAGAAAAGATAGGCAGTAAATTTCTACATAAGTCATAGTAATATCATTTTGGCTATGTCCTCTCTAGGAAGGGAAACAACAACAAAAATAAGCAAATGGGACTGCATCAAACTAAAAAGCTCCTGCCGAAGCCGGTTTGGCTCAGCAGGTAGAGCGTCGGCCTGCGGACTGAAGGGTCCCGGGTTCGATTCCGGTCAAGGGCATGTACGTTGGTTGCGGGCACATCCCCAGTAGGAGATGTGCAGGAGGCAGCTGGTCGATGTTTCTCTCTCATCGATGTTTCTAACTCTCTGTCCCTCTCCCTTCCTCTCTGTAAAAAATCAATAAAATATATATAAAAAAACAAAAAAAAAACTAAAAAGCTCCTGCTTTTTAGGATACCATCAATAAAACAAAAAGACAACCTATTAAATGACAGAATATATTTGTGCAAATGATATATCCAATAAGGGGTTAATATCCAAAATATAAAGAACTCATACAACTCAAGATAAAAAAATAAACACTCCGATCAAAAAATGGGAGAGAACATGAATAGAACATTTCTCCAAGGAAGACATACAAATGGCCAACCAACATGTAAAGATGCTCAACATCACTAATCATCAGGGAAATGCAAAGCAAAACCACAATGAGATACCAAATCACACCAGTCAGAATGGCTATTATCAAAAAAGTAAAAAAATAACAGGTGTTGGTGAGGACATTGAGATAAGGGAATCCTTGGTGCATTGTTGGTGGGAGTGTAAACTGGTGTAACCCCTACGTAAAAGAGTATGGAAATTACGCAAAAAACTAAAAACAGAAATACCCACATCACCCAGAAATTCCACTTCTGGGTATTTATCTGAAAAAATTCAAAACACTAATTAAAAAAGATAAATGCATCCTATGTTCACTGCAGCATTATTTACAATAGCCAAGATGCGGAAGCAACCTAGGTGTCCATGGAAAGAATAAAAAAGATGTGATACATATACAACGAAATATTCAACAATAAAAAAAAGAATGAAATCTTGCCATTTGTGACAAAATGGATGAACCTAGAGGTTACTATGCTAAGTGAAATTAAGTCAAAGTCAAATACCATATGACTTCACTTATATGGAGAATCTAAAAAAACAAATGAACAAACAAAACAAAAACAGACTCATAAAGATCAAACTGAGGGTTGCCAGAGCTGAGGGAGGTGGGGATAGGTGAAAAAAGTGAAGGTGAATATAGTCATAAATATTATAATTTTGCATAGTGATGGATGATTACTAGACTTCGTTTAGTGTGATGACATCATAAGGTATATAAATGTCAAATCACTGTATTGTAGACCTGAAACTAATATAACATTGTATACCAACTATACTTAAATAAATATAAATAAAATCAAAGGTTTATGCACACAGTCAAAAACTAAAAAGAAATTATATGTTGCTTATATGAGTATTGGGATTGTCAGTTGTTATTTTTGTCTTAAAAATACATTTATTGTTATATTTGTGCAACAAATAAAAAAACCCAAAAAAACCCAAAAGAATTATTCCACTTACTACACGGAGGTCTTCAATACGTTTTTCAAGAAGGACAGGTAAACCCTCTGGGAGAATAGGTACCACCTTGGGCATAACCTGAGAGGCGTAGGTTGGCTGGGTGGTGTTTCCATTCTCTCCCCCTGACTCAGAGAGGGGGCTACCATCAGAAGTAGCATCCAATAATCTGTCAAAATCAATATCATCTAGTATCTTTAGGGCACTTTCAGCTTCCTGAAACAGTTCATGTTCATTTGTGCTAACAAAAATGGGAAGGTCCGGATCAGCACTGTTCATGTTTAAGTCTGAGACATCATTTCCCAATGTTACAGCAGCGGAGGGGGGTTTATTCAAAGAGGCGCTCATTAAGTTCACTGAGACTTTAGGGTTAGACTCCTTCTCTAATGCATCCTTCTCTTTCTGAAATTTTCGTATCATGGCAGCTAGAGAAAGAGAATCTTTGTAACGTTTCTTCTTTTTTTCAGACTTGTGTGAATTCAGAGCTACAACTCTGTGAAGAAAAAAAGTAATCAGTTAGGCTACGTATGATTTTCAAGATTAAAGCCCCTTGTAAATAAGCAGGCACAAATTATCATTTGACAGGCAGGAAAGTAAATCACTTATCTATAATAATCTATAATAATAAAAGCATAATATGCTAATTAGACTGGATGTACTTCCGGACGTCCTTCAGGACAACCTTCCAGACGAAGCCGGGGCTGCAAGGGAAGCCTGGGTCGGCAGCCGGGAGAAGGGAGGCCTACTCTTGCACAAATTTCGTGCATCAGGTCTCTAGTTAAATTATAACAATAGCATCTTCATCATCATCATCTGGATTGTTGCTTATGAAAGGTAGATAAGTAAGTGAACATTAGAGTGAAGAAAATGAAAGGAATAAAGTCAACAGAAAAAAAATGAAACCAGCTCAGGTTAACTTACTATTCCTTTTGGACTGTTCACATTCTTTAGCACATCTATAAAGTAGTTACCTAAACAATTAACCAAGTAAAGAAATGTACTTCTGCTGAAAACAGTTGCTTTACAACCAGAGAAGCCCACCTTCAAATTTGTATCCCTGGAGGCTGTGCTACCAACTGCCAAAGAAATACAAAATCCTGTTTATCAATCTGTGAGCCTTCAACCATCACCATGCTCTCTATCTAGATCCCATTTTATCTGCTACTACCTTCTGGTCATTTTTCATTTTCCATTCCAGGAACAGCTGTGTGAGGCAATCAGCTAGATAAGAAATCTTTTCTAAATTCTATGGTTTATATGTTTCTAACGTGTACTTACAGAACCTAAAAGATTGTTAGAACCTTGAAGGTGGGCCCATGTTTCATTTACTCTTATATACACATACAACCAGAGGAGTGCCTGGTATACAATAGGTACTTAACAAATATTTACTCAATGAATAGATTATAAATTTGAGAAAATGATCTATTTATATAAAAGCCAAGCAACCAGAACGCCGGAAGGACCAGAACTGGTTGCTATGATGCGCACTGCAGCCAGCCAACTGGCCTGATGGGGGGGGGGGGGGCCCTCCCCCAGGCCAGATCTGGGGCAGGGCTGGCTGGCCAACCTCCCGCAGCCCCTCTCCCCAGCCAGCCCGATTGGTCTCCCCACCCCGATGGGGGTGGAGCCGCTGGCCAACCTCCCGTGGACCCTCCCCCCAGCCAGCCTGGCCCCGATTGGATGCCCCCACCCCGATCGGGGGCGGGGCCAGCCAGCCAACCTCCTGCGACCCCTCCCCCCAGCTGGCCCTGCCCCTGATCACCCTCCTACCCCGATTGGGGCAGGGCTAGCTGGACCCCACCCATGCACAAATTCGTGCACCGGGCCTCTAGTAAATTCAATAAAAAGCATTGTGTATAGTTTTTATTCCCAAAGAAGCTTACTTGTCCTATATAATAAAAGGCTAATATGCAGAATGACCGGTCGCTATGATGAGCACTGACCACCAGGGGGAGTGCCACTCAGCCAGAAGCCCTGAGCCAGGCTCACAGCTGGCAAGTGCAGCGGAGGTGGCGGGAGCCTCTTCTGCCTCTGGGGCAGTGCTAAGGATGTCCAACTGCCGGCTTAGGCCCACTCCCCTAAGCCATCAGTCAGACATCCCCCGAGGGCTCCTGGACTGTGAGGGAGCGCAGGCTGGGCTGAGGGATCCCCCACCCAGTGCATGAATTTCATGCACTGGGCCTCTAGTAAATAATAATCACTTAAAACAACCTTTAGTTACACACACACACACACACAGGGTGTCCCCCAAAAATGTATACACACTTTAACAGCTGATTTCTATTACATTTTGAAAATGAAATGTATTTTAATAAACACTACCTTTATAATTATTCAAAGTGTACATATGTTTTTTTGGGACATCCTACTGGGGATTGAGCCCACAACCCAGCCATGTGCCCTGACCAGAAATTGAACCTGCAACCTTTCAGTGCACAGGAAATGCCCAATCAACTGAGCCACAGGAGCCAGGGCTTAACAATTTCTTACTAACTCAAATGTCACTATAATCTCATGCTCAGGAGGGTATAAATACCTCCCTACATCAAATTTTTGGATATCAACAGCCCAAAATTCAGATGTACCTGCCCTGGTAAGGAGGGGAGAAATACCCAGCTTCTCAAGTTTCTGTACCTTAGTATTTTAAAAAAGCCATAGAGAGATAGGGGCAATTGGTAATTTTATGATTACATGGTACAAACATTTTATTCTTATGACTGATGTTTTCTGAGAAATTCTTCTTGGTTTTTAGAGGCAAAATCACATTAGCTAAAGTCACAAGCGTTAAGGATAGGTAAATAAAATAAATGACTGTTTTATATTAACACAATATAACTTGTTTACACATAGACTACTGCCAATCCTCAATCTCCAGGCATCTAAGGTTAGTTTTAGTACAAAAAGATTAAAATCATTTGTTCAATGTTATACCTTCTTTTCAAACTGATTCTTATTGGTAAAATGTTGTAATAAGCAAAATACTTAATGAACCAATTTCTAAATCTGATCTAATACACTGTGAGGCTCTACGGCAGGGGTGAGGAACCTTTTTTCTGCCAAGGGCCATTTGGATATTTATAACATTATTCATGGGCCATACAAAATTATCAACTTAAAAATTAGCCTGCTACTACATAAAATAAAGTTTTCAACACTTTATACAAACCCCTAAAAAAAATTAGCCTGCTATATTTGGCAGGGCCAGACCAAATAATTTTGAGGGCCTTAAACGGCCTGCAGGCCGGACGTTCTCCACCCCTGCTCTAAGATGACAAACCCTTCTACTTATTAATAAACTAGAGGCCCAGTGCACGAATTCGTGCACCAGTGGGGTCCCTCGGCCTGGCCTGTGTTGAGCAGCTGCCCCTTGGTGGTCAGTGTGCATCACAGAGACCAGTTGACCGGTTGTTTGGTCATTCAGTCACTTAGGCTTTTATATATATAGATAAAATATTATCAAAATATAAGTTAATAGGTCATTGGTATTCATAAATACTGTATTAAATTATACCCAGCTGAGCTACATTATTTAATGCTAAATATACCTTTCTAAAAGGAGAACAAGTCACACTGTGACAACAATTCTTTTATGTTTAATTTCACATACCCCAGTTGTTTGGGTACTTTTTTCCTTGGCTTCTTATCCTTTTCTCCTTCCTCTTTCCGCTTCCGCTTCTTTATCTCAATGCCGTCTTCTTTTATTTTAGGAATCTGCAAAATGATAAAAGAATGCATCACTTATCTAAGTATCAATGCTTTTCTCTGATGCTAGTGATTCAGCACCAAGGGCAGTGTTTTTTCTCAAATTTCAGTCTTCATTAATTTTTGAAAATGCAGATTTTGCCCGGCTGGTGTGGCTCAGTGGTTGAGAGTCTTGGTTTGATTCCTGGTCAGGTCACATGCCTGAGTTTTGGGCTCAATTCCCAGTAGGGGGTGTGCAGGAGGCAACCCATCAATGAATCTCTCTCATCATTGATGTTTCTATCTCTCTCTCTCTCTTTCTCCCCACACCCCTAAAGTCAATAAAACCATATAAAAAAGAAAATGCAGATTCTTGCGGTCCACAAGCACTCCCACCCCAGTTTAGATTCAATTATCTGTGTAGGTCCTTATAATCTGTATTTTTAACAAACATTTCGGTGATTTTGGTACATCTTTGCCACACTTCAAAGAACACTTATCTAAGGACACTCTCAATTTCCCAAATACAATATATATATTCTATAGAATTTGCTTTAAAAATTGTATCTTAGAAAACGTAATGGTTATTAAGTCATTTCTATACCAAGAATTAACATATATCCTGGAAATTTAACCATATCCCAGAAACAGATTATTAGACAACATATGTAGAGAGAAATGTTTAAAATATAGTTCTGTGATGTAAATATCACTTCCTCATATTTACATAATTTTACTTTAAAGCATGTAATTAACTATGGATTCATTAAAGAATGGTTAGCAATTTACTTTCCCTTCTAGTCACAGTGTAAAGCACAAGTGAAATTCAAAAAGCATATCTTATTAATTGAATGCTCTCATTATTGTTGCAATTTTGAATAAACTCACTTTGGATGGTTTGTGCTTTTGGTCATCTGTAATATCTTCTTCTTCAGTATCTGAAGCTTGGCGAAACTGTAGAGTGCCAGTGTTGATATAAAATCCTCCATATTTTGTTGTTAGAGAAGCAGGAACTAATTCATCATACTAGATTAAGAAAAAAAGTTTCATATATATCCTATTATCTTTAATTCTATAAATATGTCAAATAAATTCAATCACCATGTCAGCATCTTCCTTAAATCCTAACTGCAAAACTAACAGCAATGAGTATGCTTCTGGAATAAGTTTAGAAAAAGTTAGTATCTAGAATAAAAATGAGCTCTAATCATTCAGCATTTATTAGAAAGGCACTTCTGGAACAATAGAACAAATTCTAAATATATCATCTACTGAGAAAAATTTAAGGATCACTGCTACTATTTTTAATGACAATAATTCTGATGAGAAATTCAAACAAGTTAAAACAGATAACTAAAAGTCCAGGCAGCCCTAGCTCGTTTGGCTCAGTGGATGAAGCGTTGGCCTGTGGACCAAAGGGTCCCTGGTTCGATTCTGGTCAAGGGCACGAACCTCGAGTGCAGGATCCTCCTTGGCACAGGCCCTGGTCAGGTCTCTTACAGGAGACAACTGATCAATGTGTTTCCCTCACATCGATATTTCTGTCTGTCTTTCCCTCTCTCTTCCACTCTCTCTAAAAATCAATGGGAAAATATCCGCAAGCGAGGATTTTAAAATAAATAAATAAATAAATAAATAAAGTCCAGACAAATAATAAATTTCATTTCCTACTACATCAGTATATAATTTTATTCATAAGGAGATTATAAAAAAATAACAAGGTTAAGAAGAAAAACCACTATAAATGCATAAAATGTTTAAGAAAAGAAAAAAAGTAACAAAATTATTTCTTTTGTCTTAGCTCTAAGTTTCTAAGTGGAGAAAAAATTTTAAACGTTCAAAAGGAAAACAGCATGTACATGTTTTAAAGGGAAGCAGGAAAGGAACTGCCGAGTTCAGTAAGCACACGCTGGGGCCTAATGAGCTAGGCACTTTGCTTGGAGCAAGAGACTCAAATTGCCTAAATCAGACTGAAGGTCTGACCTAGAATATCCTTAAAGCTGATGTCCTCTAAATCTGAATTTTAAAGCTTATCATATCTCACTTGATGAAGATGGACAAAATGCAACCATTAAATGGTCAATCTTAACCAAATGAAGGCATTTATAGTGGGAGAGAAAAAAGGAACTACTTATCTAACAGAAACGAGATATCTGCTACCTGAAGTCTCCAGAACTCTACTTAAGGGTTCTTATTATATAACTAGTCTTTAAGGAAGTCAGATTTTTATTTTTATTTTTTTTTAAATATATGTTATTGATTTTTTACAGAGACTAAGGGAAAGGGATAGTTAGAAACATCGATGAGAGAGAAACATCGATCAGCTGCCTCCTGCACACTCCCTACTGGGGATGTGCCCGCAACCAAGGTACATGCCCTTGACCGGAATCGAACCCGGGACCCTTCAGTCTGCAGGCCGACACTCTATCCACTGAGCCAAACCAGTCAGGGCGGAAGTCAGATTTTTAAAGAAAGTTCTTTGCCACTGGCAAGAAATCTATACAACATACTAGTTACTATAAGAATATTAAGGTTAAGTACAAAAGTTCTGATTTTAACATGTGTCCTTTAAAATTATATGGAAAAGAAAAAAAATCCATGAAGTCCTTTCTTGTTGCTCCACTCCATGGGCCACATAAAGATCTATAGGTAAGACTTTCAGAAGGGGTCCAGTAATATCTGCAAGTAAAGGACTGATGGAAGGAGTAAAGGATTAAAAGTGAAGAGACTTTTATTTCATAATTACTTTGAAAATGTGTAATTAAGATAAATACACCTGTACTTTTGCTTACAGATACTTGTACACTGCTTTATCATGTACAATTCTTCTTCTTATACAGTTTCACTTGGTCTTCCTGACACCCTTGTGAGGTAAGGAAGACAAATATTTTCCTATTTGAAAACCAGATTCAGAGCAGTCAAGAACCTTGCCAGAGTAATTTCATTAGTTTATGGCAGAGTTACTGGCTGACTCCCCACCATCTAAGACACCAAGCAGCTTCTCACCTGGGAAACACCCTCATCACTAAGTTATCAAGCAGGTGGATGTGCTTAACATGTGTCTTCTGCAGTATTCTGCTGAGCTTTCTCTACCAGAGCACTCTTCAGGAGAACAAATTCTCTATGCAAATGTAATTTATTCTTTCGGGTAGAATGTGTTAAGATCCAATGGAACACTGAACTTGAGAATCAGAAGGCTTGGATTCAAATCCTTTGCCAATGATTAGTTATTGTGACCCAGAGCAAATCACTTAACATCAATATTTTGGAAATGTAAAACAAGAGGGAAGTTCTAGTGAAATTAAAAAGACAATCTAAATAAAAGTGTTACTCGTGTCTGGTATTATTATTTATTAATAATAAAAAAAATTTTCTTTCAGTCTTTTAAAAATTTGGCAGCATTTAAGTGTGAAACTAAAAATATCTTCAATGTCATTTATTTTCATGTATTTATAGCAATAAGTAGTACATGATTCTGAAAATTAATTATAACCAGATTATTTTCACTCTCTATCAAATAATATAAGAACAGTAAAAGCCTACTGGCAACATAATCAATGATAAGAACAGCGAATCATTTAGTTGGATCACACTGTTTTATGTTTGAATTATCTCATAAAAAGAACCAAATAATCTGTTAAAGACAACAATATACAATTACTTGTTTGTCATTAAACAACCTGAACTTTTGAGTTTGATTTTCTGTTATAAAACAGTGACATACCTTATTCTGTAATGTAAGTAATTATATAACTTTTATACAACTTATACCTACAAAATTTATCCTTATTTATTAAAGCTGTAGCTTTCAAATTTTCTTTACCACAACCAGGTGAAAAATACATTACACATCAACATCAAAATTCAGTGCACATGAACACACACATGCACATCAACAAAATCACAGAGCCGATCAGTGGTTTACCATGACAGCTCCTATTATTTTCTATCTCACTTTCTTTAAAAATGCTGGTCCCTCTCTAAATTGATATATAACCCAATTATGGACTGCAAAAGTCAGTTTGCAAAACAATTTATTTGAAAATTCTGAATACTACAAAAGGAGATATTTAAGATGCTATTTATGAAAGGCAAAACTATGGAGACAGTAAAAAGATTAGTGGTTGCCAGGGCATAGGGAGGCACAAATAGGCAGGGCAGAGATTTCTTAGGGCAGTGAAACTATTCTGTAAGGTACTATAATGGTGGATACTTGTCATTGTACATTTGTCAAAACCTACCAAGAGCGAACCCTGAAGTAAACTATGGACTTTGGGTGATGCTGTGTCAATATAGGTTCCTTGTAACTAATGTACCACTCTGGTGGGAGAGTGCTGATAATGGGGGAGGCTGTATATGTGTGAGGACAGGGAATATATGGGAAATCTCTGTACCTTTTGCTCAATTTTGCTGTGAACCTAAAATTGCTATTAAATTAAGTTTATTAATTTTAAAAAATGCTATTCATATAAGCCGCAGTACATGAAATGTCCATTTATATATGACTAAGTTCCTTCTTGGGTTATTTTGAATGCAGTCTGTTTTACATATAATGTTGGCTTTAATGCTTTTTTCATGCTTTACACTTTTCAGCATGTCATTATCTTATTGGAGTCTCAGAGTAATTCTGCTGGACAAGCCAATCATAGCAAAGTGGATGATGCTAAAAGACCTGCTCTGGGTCTATGGCAAATTAGAAACTGAGTCAGGTCTCGAATCTAGGACTTTTGACTTGAGTTCCAAATCAACGTCAAGACTCTTGACAATATGCTATGGCCTAACCTACTCAATGACAACCTCTACTCTAAAGGGTACTGTCAGTATTTTACTTCTACAAACCAGGCTGCCTGGTAGGTTAACCAGTTTATGTCAAGGCACCAACGTAACTTAGAAGTATGACAGGGTCTCCAGTATGTCTCATGCTGGAAACCCATCCTATCACTCTCTCCTACCACACCATATGCCTTGTGGTCATGTATGCAACCAAGCACTGTCATAACAGGAAAAAGACGTATTAATTTGTGGATAGTATAATAATCACTTCAGTGTCACTTTCTCTATATCCTACGTAATCATTGTGCACTGAAAAGAATATCATAACAACAACATTTAGACTACTCTAGTACACTGAGAAGATATACCTTACCTACCCAAAACATGACATACCCTCCTTCATTTGCTATGGGATCAATGGACTGCCATAGGCTTTAAATGCTCTCTTAAATTCCCTTCCTTTTTATAAGAGAAAGAGAGTTCCAGGGGAAAAGGCATAGGGCTTGATCGAAACAGGCTGGTAAAAGGCTGGCATTAAATTACTGCCATTGTAGTAAGTCTTGGCAGCAATAAAAAAATCAAAGTCTTGCCCTAACTGGTTTGGCTCAGTGGATGGAGCTTTGGCCTGTGGACTGAGGGGTCCCAGGTTCGATTCCGGTCAAGGGCATGTACCTTGGTTGCGGGCACATCCCGAGTAGTGGGTGTGCAGGAGGCAGCTGATTGATGTTTCTCTCTCATCGGTGTTTCAAACTCTCTATCCCTCTCCCTTCCTCTCTGTAAAAAATCAATAAAATATATTTTTTAAAAAAATAAAAGTCAAGTAAATTTTAAAGATGTCTCCAGATTAACTTTAACCCAGTAGCTCCAATTCTCAAGATCACATGATTCTTATATGGAAGTCATTTGAAAACACACCTGGCCCGCCCTGGCCGGTTTGGCTCAGCGGATGGAGCGTCGGCCTGCGGACTCAAGGGTCCCAGGTTCAATTCCCATCAAGGGCATGTACCTTGGTTGCGGGCACGTCCCCGGTGGGGAGTGTGCAGGAGGCAGCTGATTGATGTTTCTCTCTCATCGATGTTTCTAACTCTCTATCCCTCTCCCTTCCTCTCTGTAAAAAATCAATAAAATATATTAAAAAAAAAAAAAGAAAACACACCTGGCCCAAGTTTGGGAATATCAATAAAAATTCAAGATATAAATACCCTTTGATCAATAAATTCCACTGCTAGATATTTATCCTACGCATATATTTGCACTCTATAATTACCTTACATACATATTTACTCAAGTACACAAAGTGTACACAGATGCTCAATTATTTATAGGTGTATAAAACTAGAAACATTTTAAATGTATATCAACAGGGTATTAGTTTGTAAAAACATTCACTGAACTATTTTACTTACTTTACCTTACCCTTGACTCCTACTATTCCAGACAAATAATTACTGCTATATTAAAGATGCATTACTCACAGCCTCTGAGTTATCAATAAATGGATCTGTCTCATCATAGCCAAAGCCTATATCAATTAAATCTTGTAGCCGATCCTTCCGGTGTTTACGGGGTTTCCCACCCTGCAAAGAACAAATATGTTAGACTGATTCAGTACTCATGCTATTTCCATAAAGTTGAAAAATACATGTTGGAAGAATCCCAGATAATTTCTGTAGGCAATCTCCCCTCCAGGAGGTTGAATTTAAGTCCTCTGACGTCTTGAAAGTAAGTTGTGCTTAGGAACTTGCTCCCAAGGAGCAGAGTATGAAAAAGAGCAGCCAAAGTAACCTTACAGTAAATAACCTGGCCACCATTACCTCAGCCAGGTGATCAAGGTCAACATCAACAATGATAAGCCATGTTTATAGTATATACCCTTGACATCATGTGATAAAAATGGCACTTTACCTTTGTGCTTTCTCACAAAAGCCTATAATCCCAGTTATGGGTTAACAATGAGAAAAGCATCATGACAAACTAAAACATGAGAAAAACATCAAACAAACTAATTTGAGAAATATTCTATAAATAACTGACCAGTATTCCTCAAAGCTGTCAAGATTATAAAAAACAAGGAAACCCCTATGTGGTTTGGCTCAGTGGATAGAGCATTGGCCTGCAGACTGAAGGGTCCCAGGTTCAATTCCCAGTCAGGGTACATGCCCGGGTTGCAGGTGATCCCCAGTATGGTGCATGCAGGAGGCAGCTGATCAATGATTCTCTCTCATCATTGATGTTTCTACCTCTCTCTCCCTCTCCCTTCCTCTCTGAAATCAATAATAAAAAACCCCACAAAGAAAATATGAAAAACTGTCACAGTCTAGGTGAGCCTCAAGAGACATAATGACTAAGTGTGCTGCTGTACTCTGGATGGTGTCCAAAAAAACTAACCAATGTTGGTTTGTTAAGGTAACAAATGTACTATACAGCTGTAAGTTGTTTTCGGGAAGAGTGGGTAAGGACTATACAGGAATTCTTTGTATTAGCTTTGCAACTTTCCAATAAACCAAAATACTCTTATTTTTAAAACTGACATAGAATTAATTATACACATAGACATACAAGAAAATAAAAAAAAAAAGAGTACATGCAAAAACTGGTGAAATTTGAATAAGGTCTGTATTACAGTTAATTGTATTGTGCCAGTGTCAATTTCCTAGTTTTGATAACTCTACTTACATAAAAGATATTACTACTGGGAGAAACTGGATGATGGGTATAAGGGACCTCTCTGCACTATTATCTGCAGCTTCTTGTGAGTCTATTATAATTCTTTCCAAATAAAATTTTTTTAAAAAGTGAAACAGCCAGGCTGGTGTTGCTCGGTGGTTTGAGCGTCAACCCATGAACCAGAGGCCATGGTTCAATTCCTGGTCAGGACACATGCTGTGGTTTTGGGTTTGATCCCCAGTAGGGCGCATGCAGGAGGCAGCCGATCAATGATTCTCTCTCCATCATTGATGTTTCTATCCCACTCTCTCTCTCCCTTCCTCTCTGACATCAATAAAAAATATTATTATTTTTTTTTAAAAAGAACTTCTGCTACAGAAAGCAACATGTTAAATGCCAGAAGGAATTTAAGTTTTGTCCTCAAGGAATTTAAAATGAGATAATCTACTCAACAAATTTACTGAGCACCTATCAAGTGCCAGACTTCATGGATTTAATAGTACCGAGGAGAGGAGAAAAAATAAACAATTATTTGTGATAAATGGTAGAAAGAAAAATGTAAATGGTACTGAGATGTTTTTAACAGAGGACCTAATAGGAAGAATATAAAAACTCACAGACAAAAACTAATATTTGTGTGCAGACAAGGATGAGTGGAAGTACCCACTTGTAGAGGCCATTGAAAAGATTAGATCAGGGAAGTAACCTGACAAGACTAGTGCTTAACAAAATCACTCTGACTATCGTGATGGGGAATAAAAACAGTGGGGAAGAGACCAGTTAGGAAGGAAAAACATGCAGATATTTATAAGAAAGTCACAAGTTAAAGGGGCATAAAATCATATTTAAGTATCAATGATGATGATGATAGTTACCATTCACTGAATGCTAATTTGCATTAGTACCTATAACTATCCATTATTTCACATTTGACAAATGGAGAAAACTAAAGCTTGGAAAGGATAAATAACTTGTCTAGGCTCATACAGAAAGTAACAGAGCCAATCTTCAAATTCATGACTCTCTAACTCGAAAGTGCCATTCTATTCAAAGGCCTATCACAGAAGTTGTAGAACCCCTGAGGTCTGTCTTTTTTCCACTCAGAGTCAGCCTATACTCCATACCCAAACTGCAAGCCATCCCCACTGTCACTCGTCTATAAATTAACTTCTCCCACTTGATGCTCTCATTTTATTCATTCTATTTCCCTGCCTTAAAACTTTATTATTCGCTAAAATTAAAAAGGCTGGTAATACCAAGTGTTAACAAGAGGAGGAATTAAAACACTCTTACACAGCTGGTGCAAAATGATACAGCCATTTTGAGTCTGTTTTTGTTTTGTTACTTCCTTATTCTGTTCTTTAGACTCCACATATAAGTGAAATCATATGGTATTTGTCTTCCTTTGTCTGACTTATTTATTTCACTTAGCATAATACTCTCTAGGTCCATCCATAATAAGATTCCACTCCTTTTTATAGTCAAGTCAAGTAATAGGTATTCCATTATATATATGTACCCAGAGCAGCCCTAATCATAGCATCCAAAAACCAAAGACAACCCAACACCCATCATCCAGTGAATGGATCTGGATTACTACGCAACCAAAGAAAAAGGAACTACTAATACATGCAACACATGGATGAATTTCAGAAGCATTATGCTAAGTGAAAGAAGCATAAGATCATAAGATTCCATTTACAGGAAATTCTAGAAAAGGCAAAAAAAAAAAATTGCAAAAACCTGGAGACAGGAGGTAGATCAGAGGTTGCCAGAGGTCAGGGCTGGAGGGAGAGGATTATATGTAGAGCAATAAAAGGGAACTTTCTGGGGTGAAGAAATTGTTCTATATCATGATTGTGGCAGTAGTTAGAGTATGTGTGCACTTGCCAAAACTCATCAAACTGCACATTTAAAATGGATAAATTGTATCTATTTTAATTATATTTCAATAATGCTGATTTTTAAAACCCCTTGTGATTATTTCTACTTCAACGCTCTCCCTCTACAAAGTTTTATTCATATGATTATTCACACCCACAGCTTTCTTTCCATTCTGCCATGGCTATAATGCTGGCTATTATTTTTCACTTAAATGTAATGACTGCCTAATTAGCCTCTCCTCCCTTATCCTCAATTTACCCTACATAATATCACTTAATTAATATTTCTAAAATAACACTTCATATCATTCCCCTGCTCAAAATACTTTAGAAGCAATCTACCTATTATAAGCTAAATCTAAAACCCTTACTATGCCATTAATAAAATGTTTTCTACATGTTGACTCAAAACTAACTTCCCAATTTTTTTCTTAAAATTTTCCATCTTAAACACTTTGATCCATTCAATCTATCCACTCAGCCAAACACATTGCTTATCTTTCCTCATTCTTTCCCCTTATTTGCAATAATCTCTTAATCCTCTTTAAATTCTCCCACCTTCACAGCTCAACCCAAGTTTTAAATCCTTTCTCCTTGGTGCTTTCAACTTAAATCACAATGATCTTTTTTTGCTGTCCTAACATATTTTTTTGTTTAGGCACTAGCTGCCTATGAGATTGACCTAGGGAAAACTAAAAATCCAACAACATAAAACCCAAATAGTTTCTATTGTAATAGGCAGAATCAGCCATATGCAGAAGTACAAATAACTTATGTATTAATTGGAAATTTAGGAACATTTAAGTCTAGTCAAGGAAACCAGCAGTTACCACAGGAAACATTAGTTGTTTTTAATAGTTCTGAGACTATAATAATCTAATATATGCAGAAAATGGTTAAATAAGTAAATGAGTCTAATCGAGCGGTTCTCAACCTGTGGGTCTTGACCCCTTTGGCGGTCAAACAACCTTTTCACAGGGGTCGCCTAAGACCATCCTGCATATCAGATATTTACATTATGATTCATAACAGTAGCAACATTACAGTTATGAAGTAGCAACGAAAATAATTTTATGGTTGGGTCACAACATGAGGAACTGTATTTAAAGGGCCAGAAGGTTGAGAACCACTGGTCTAATCAATGACAGTAAACAAAATGTCTAGAGCAGCCGTGGGCAAACTACGGCCCGCCGGATCCGGCCCATTTGAAATGAATAAAACTAAAAAAAAAAAAAAAAGACCGTACCCTTTTATGTAATGATGTTTACTTTGAATTTATATTAGTTCACACAAACACTCCATCCATGCTTTTGTTCCGGCCCTCCGGTCCAGTTTAAGAACCCATTGTGGCCCTCGAGTCAAAAAGTTTGCCCACCCCTGGTCTAGAGCTTTACTTAATTATAACTGTATTAATCTCAAAAAGGATCATACAAACTTAAGATCTTTACTAAGTATTTTATCAATTATAGTACCATAACAATGATGAAGGTATAAATTGTACATACTATGAAACATCCATTCAATGTAATAGTCATTTTAAAACATGGTTGCCCTGAAAAAAAAGAAAATGGCTGGTTTGGCTCAGTGGATAGTGCGTTGGCCTTCGGACTGAAGGTCAAGGGCACATGCCTGGTTGTGGGCTCAATCCCCAGTAGGGGACATGAGGAGGCAGCCAATCAATGATTCTCTCTCATCATTGATGTTTCTACCTCTCTCCCCCTGTCCCTTCCTCTCTGAAATCAATAAAAATATATTTAACAGAACAAACAAAAAAACATGGTTGCCCTGGCCAGTGCTGCTGTGGCAGTGTCAGCCCACACAGAATGGTTGCAGGTTTGATTCCCTGTCAAGGGCACTTACCTGGGGTACAGAGGCAACTAACTGATTATGTCTCTCTCATCAATATTTCTTTCTCCCCCCACCCATCCCTTTCACTCTCTAAAAATCAATGGAAGATTAAAAATGGCAGGGGAGTAAATGGATGCTGCACCAACATGCTCCCAGGAACAAACTGCAATTACAACTAA